AACTCCCCCTCCCCCTCCCCTCCCCTCCCCTCCCCTCCCCTCCCCTCCCCTCCCCTCCCTCCCTCCCTCCTCTCTGACTCGATGTCCGTTTGTCTTGTTTGCAAGAAGCTTTTGTCCCTCACTTTCCTCATCCGGTCCTTTCTTGCAGGCATCTATTTGACATTTCGTATCAGTTGATGTCGTGTAAGACTATGGAATCCATCGAACGAGATGACTTCGAAAATCTTCTTTTTCCATCGAACATTTCTACGGAAACACAAGATAAAAAGTTGATTAGGTTTTACCTCCTCGTCTGATCCTGCAGTATGTTGATTGACTGCTCCAGGTCATGCTGGGTGGATGAAACCAGCTGGGAAGAAGAGGAGGGCGAGAGTTCCTTGACAGAAGCAGGTTCGATTGACTTCCCGTCCGGGCCGAGGTAGACGAGGGAGACTGGTGTGAAATTCTCAGACAACTGAGCTTGCCGCAGCTGGTCGGAAACGTTTGATGATGGAAGCTTGCAAGGGGTTGGCGCCATCACGTGGCCGGATGGGTCATGCTATCACGGTGATAGCGTCGAGTCGTGCCGATGGTAGTTTGAAGGTCGGCAGGTGGACTGAGCGACAACATGCGGCATGGGCATGGAACGTACAGGTGGGCAGACGGTTGCACCTACGAGGGAGACTATGAGAACGACTGTCGCCATGGTGAGACCATCCTCCTCGAGGGAGTGAATGTTGCGACACTGTCCTGGTCAGGGCGAGGACACTACAAGGGGAAGCACCACCAGTACGATGGGAGCTGGAAGCATGACATGATGGACGGAGAAGTGATGAGCTGAGAATTGTGAAGGGGCAGCGCTGACGCTGAGTGGTCAGGGAGTTTACGAATGTCTGGATCAGAATATGAATGTCTTCCGAATCTTTCAAGGGAAATTTGAGAAGAACGCTCCTATTTCTGGTATGCTGCAAACAAGCGATGGCCGGAAACGAAATGTGTGCTACGATGGTGATACGCCAGTGACTGGACATCCTTGGTGAGGAAGAATATCCAATAGGTGGAGTAACTGATTCTTTCCTTGGCATCAAGGCTGTGGAAGTCCTTGCGGTGGACTGAAGTCTGATCTGTTGCAAGAATGTCTCTGATAATGCTGTTAGCAGTGAAGATGAGCAGCTGACGAAGCCGCTGGGGGAAGGGAGCGAAGAGTTTGAGATGGTTGCCGATCTCTTCTTTGCTTCAGTCCCTCGCTCCTCGTATGTCGAGAGAGGGAAGTGCAAAGGAGAGAAGACTGAAGGAAGCATACTCATGCAGGTTTGAAATCACCACCATCAGTCGGGTACACAACTATGGTCTTTGCAATCTCTATGAGGTCCAGGTGAAGCAGATTGACCGATCTCGAGCTTGACGTGTCAGTGCTGAATGAACCGATAGAGAGATCGCATACGCAACGAGATCCTCAAGCGAGGGATAGCCTGGGAGGCTTCCGTCATGGAGCGATGGGCATTTCAACGGCCAGAACCGCCAGATCATGGGCCGATGTCGTTCGTGTTACCGCAACTTGACAGCAGGTATATGCATGGAGCAGACTTGTCTCTCATCAAGATGCTGATCATCTCGCAGCTGGGAGGACCCCTTGCAAGCAGTTATCAACGAGGGCTTCCTGGTGAACTCAGGTGAGCACAAGCATGCCGGGGCATCAAGTCTGATGCTGAGCTATAGGCTCCTGCCATGGTAGGCAGTTCGGGGCCGGCAAATACTTCTTTCGAGACGCCAAGTGAGTTGAGAGGAAGTTGATGCAGAGAGTGACTTCATGACAGCAAACAGCTTGGCTGCCACAGTGTCTTGCCAAAAGGCTCTCAGAAGACCTCGATGCTGCTAGCTCGAGTACGTTTGACCTTCACGTCACTGTCAGTGGCTAGAATTCTCAAGCTTGTCAGGTGGTGGTCGGACGATACGCGTTGGGTCAACGTGAGTGCCTTATGCCTCCGATTGATCCGACTGGTATGAACAACTCTTCTCCCCCCTTGTCTTCGCGCATTAGCTGAACTGAAGCTAATGGCGCAGGTAATCCTGGCCAGCACTACCACAGCATGGTCGATGACGTCGTCAACCCAAGCTGCTTTGTCATCCAGGTATCATAATCCTACTGCTGCTGCTCCTGATCTGGCACGTCCTCACGTCTCAAGCAGAACAGTGCAAGCGCGTACCCAGCGTACCAGATCGATTACCGACCAGTCGAAAACCACTTACCCTGTACCATGTCTTCGGGGCAAAAGGTTGGCAACAAGAGGTGGAGGAGGAGGTGAAGGAGGAGAAGCAGGGGATCTGACTTCTCTGTGCACAGGAAGTGGGGAACAACCGCAGGTCCAACCCGCTGCGCTCTGTGATTAACCAGAAGAAATGCGTAGAGAAGCAGAGGCAGAGCTAACCACCGATCGACCTCGCGCAGGATGACGACAATCGTGATTCCCGCACAAGTATATGGCTGTACTCTTAGCCTAGTGCGAAGAATATATGAATTATGATGTATATCTCAAGGGGAAAATATCTCTCGTGTCTAACAGCCACTGATCAACACAAGATGCTTGACAAGTACCACTGCAACTAAAAGTCGAGCCGACCCTCACGATTCTGTGGAGACAATTCATATTTCTTCACAAACGGAGAAACAATGTAGCCCTCTCAATTGGTTGAGAGTGGTAGATCATCACATCAAAACATAGCCACTGTACATTCGAGGAGTCATGCTAATGATGCTTGCCCACTTGACCCTTTGGGTGTCGAGTTTTCCTTTTACCCGGGTTCCGGCGATTGTTTCCTTGAAAGAAGACGAATTCTCAACCCCCCTCACACAACGAAAGACGTGGAATTACCATAGAACGGAGATATCTTCGCGTATAACGCTTTGCGAGTTTCAATTTTCTTGTCGCCGACCATGTTACTGAGGGCAAACCAGAACTTTGCCTTTCCTGTTCACCACTTTGAACTTGGGATGTGAGAGGAGGAGAGGAGTACCTATCGGATCTTTCTCTCTTCCACATTTGATATCGGCCCCTTGTTGGACAAGAAGCTTGACCAAGGATGTATGACCGCAATGCGCAGCAGCAGACAACGGGGTGAAGCCGATATAATCTTTGTGCACTCCGGTCTGAGCATGTAATCAGTAAGATATGGGAGATGTGAGAAGCCCTGACCTTAGGCTGCACAAGATAGTTGATGTCTGCCCCTGTCTGAAGTAGATGCTCGACAATGTGACGTGCTCCTTTCACGCAAGCCTGTAACTCTTCATCAGTTCTTGTGACCTAGCAATCCCTCAACGACCGCAATGAGTTTGGCGTTGATGTCCATAGACTTCTTCGGCTTGAAAGGCCTGATGGACTCCCACATGTGGCTGCGGAACCCGATTCCTAGCGGCACAGGAGAGTCTAAGTGAGATATGGGGAGATGAGGTTGTACGAGATATGGGGAGAGGAGGGTGTACTCACGGATAGGGATTGTAGCTGGGTCAGTGTGTACGGAACGAGGAGATGCTTGCCACAACACCTTCGCCAGACAAGTGTTAGAACATAGAGATGGCGGATGGAGAAAGTGATTGTCCATACGTCTCTCACGACCTCCTTGCCGTGGTATCGCTCCAAAGCAGACAACTTGCGGGGGCCGGTACAAGGGCGAATTGTTCGCAACAGCTGTTCAGGATCAGGAGAGTGAAGCGAGTATGAAATGGAGAGCAACCGGGTAGTTGTTCTTGCGGGGAAATCTCCTGGGGCATACGCTGGTTCTCTGCTTGACGGTGCCGCGACTTCCTGTGCATTTGCCTCCACGGAGAGAAAGAACCGACCAGGAGGATGATACAGGACGCCATGGCGCAACATCACAAGAGGAGAGTGCAAGGGTTGAGAAGAAGGAGAGGAGGAGGAGGATGGACAGGGGGCTGCGGCTGAAGGGGGGGGCAGCGGGGGCCATGGCCGAGGAGCGATAGAAGAGCATGCCAATCAACACAGCTGCGGGTGCATGGCTTGAGCCTACGGGGGATGAGGGGCCGCATAAGGGGTGGTGGTCAGCATAGAAACTATAAGTATGGGTTAGGGTCATTCCTCCCCTGCCCACCCCATATATTTCTGCACCCTACCCATTGAATAGCTACTCATAAAGGGAAAGTCAACCCCCACTTTGATACCCCTACCCCCTGTGGTGGATGAACCTACTACCCCCTCCAAAAGGGTTGCACTCAGTCGCTGGCGCCTAATGGCGCATGTGCGAAACGAAGATGTTGACATGGGGGAAGGCGCGAGGAAGAGAGAGAAGAGAGAGAAGACGGGGGATGATGATGATGAAGTCGGAGAGAAGAGAGGAGTTCGAGAAGAGAACGATGTCAAGCTGAATGGAAGAAGGAACAGAGACAATGAGCAGACGAGCATTGAAGTCGGCGAGGCCGATTTTGGTAACGATACGGACCTGTTACTCAACTTCCAAGAAGCCTGCAGACGATATAGCCGAAGATGCGGCCTGTCATGGTAAGATATTGTATCATAGACCCCTATGTAGAAATCTGTATGTCGATTGTTGTTGAATTCTGTGCTCACTTTGGTTCTGGTCGACTTTGAATTTACTATTTCTGCAGCGGAGGCCTGAATGCAGATATTATTGCTCGGCATGATAGCGATCATGTCCGCCGAGATTGGCTTTCTTGTTTGTCCCAGGACGCGCTTCCCCGGTCCCTTGACGGATCGTGTCGGGACCATTGTGCTCTTTCGGTGCTACCTCGCACGTGACTGAATGCTCAAGTGATGCTGTGGTAGATTGGATTGCACATGTGCCAGAACGACCCTTATTGGAAAATAAGGCATGATGCAACAGAGCTGCTGGATAAGGTCGTGATCTCGGTGTGCGTCCCAGGCTGCTCATCTACCGCGCAGGTGGCTCCGATCGGCCACATGCCCACCATACAGGTGCTGCTACAGCGACTGCATGATGAATCATTTGGTGAGTAGATCTCAATGGAGACGTGATGAACCTGTTGAGCTCACTCGTCTCTCACAGCCGTTCGTGCAAGAGCTGGTAGCGCGATCGAGAAGCTGACCGAACGAGGCGACAGAGTTGCATTGGACGCCTTCAAGAACCTTGCAAGGGTCAGTTTGAGACGAGTCCAGGGAATCAAGAGTGACGTGATCTGCAGCACAAATCTACTGACATGGCTGTGATTGGACTACGGGGGATGCGGAAGACAGCTCATCGAGGTCTGTACATGCGAACAGAAGCCGCCGGGTTGCTCATTTGCCGATTTCCAGAGGATGAAAGTGTGATTGAAATTTTTCTGGAACACTTAGAATCTGATGAAGAGCAAGTTATCGTGGTAGAAACCGGTTGTTATCTTCTATTTGATTCGTGATCGTCTGTACAGGCTGCAGTGAAAGGCCTACAAAACGTGATTAAGGAGCCAAATTCCAAGGCAAGTCTTTGTGCGGTGAAAAGCCTGTCATAAGCGCATCATTGATTTTGATTGAGTCAGGTTACCGACGCTCTTCTCAAGCTTTTGGTGTCGATGGAGGCTTCCATGACGGTATCCTTCATCTAGCTGGATCCTTCGTCTGAGTTGCTCTTCACAGGAGGAAGCGGATGAAGTGTACGACTCGCCCTCAAAAGACGCGCTCATTCGCGCTCTTCCTGACTTGTCGAGGAAGGACGACCCTGAAGTGATCACCGTCTTAATTCGCATGTTCGAAACAGAGAGCAATGACTTCACCAAGGAAAGGATTGCAAAAGCTCTCGGGCGAATTGCATCAAGGGGAAACCGGAGAGTGGTTGATTTGCTATTAACAGCTATCGATGCTGAGGATTACATCGTAGCTTTGCCATGCGTGCAAGCAATCGGCGATGTGGCTAAGCTTGATGACGCCAAGGTGATTGCTGTGCTTATCCAGTGCCTGCAGCACGAGGAGGTTGCAATCAGACTCTCAGGTTTGAAGGCTATTTCCAAAGCTGCGTCTAGGGGCCATGCTACGGTCGTTCCAATGGTCCTTAACGCGTTGAATGACAAGAATCCGGCTGTGCGGTTGGAAGGCATATCGGCGCTCGGACGCCTGGGCTCGCCCACAGATCGGCAAGTTGTAAAATCACTGGGAAAGATCGCAGACTCGGAACAAGTTGCTCAAAGAGATGCCGCACAGGCTGCTTTGTTAGAGATTATCCGAAGTGTTGAGAATGAAGACTTCTGTGAATGACAGCTGATGTGTCTCAAAGTTAGGAGATAAAGGGTTGAAATCATGAATCCTACTCCATTTCCACCTGAAGTCTCCTGTCCCTGCTCAAACCTGAACACAACATAGCGAATAGAGAGAGCACTACATGGAATACAAGACTGTTTATAAATATCAGGTCGAATTCTTGGTGCCAAGACAGCAACATGCTTTGCAGGATAGGAAACCATCTAAAATGCGTGTATCCTTTGTGTAGGAAATTTGGACCACTCAAGGAAAATAAAGCTTAGCAAGCCCATTCTCCACCGCTTGGGCCCTCGGAAGGACAGATCTCTCCGTACTGCTCATAATCCTTGGCTCCGTACTCAAGAGTGGGAATCTAGCGTGAAAAATATCAGTGCGAGGGCAGGATTACACTTGATGAATATAGCGAATGAAAGCAAGGGTGACCAAATCCATTTCTCTCGCACACACACACCCAAGTCAATTAACAGAAGTAAAGACACAGGCACGCAGTGATAGATTTGAAGAGGCGAAATCATCGACAACGAGGCAGCCTCCATGAAACAACAGCCGCATGCTCAGCCAAGGTGAGTCGAGGCAGGAGGATCGTCACAAGAACACGAGTGAATTCAACTCACCCTAGTTCCCCAGGGATGGAGGGAAGAGGAGAGGTCGTCGAGGGGGTTGAGGTTCTCCTTCCCTCCCGGGTTGGTGACATTCTCTCCCGGCACCGTCCACAAAGTCAAGTTCGTTCGCAACAACTTGGTCAGCATTGAATCGCCACGCGCCTCTTCGTCTCGCGCGTAACGGTTATGAACGAGCGTTACTTTCAAGGACGTTTTTCGGTTACAAATATCCGTGTGAGTATCCGCGAGTATCCGCTTTGCTTGTCGGGGGTGGTCTCCATGATGGCGAAGGGGCGCGGCATGGGCGGGCGATGGGGATGGGCATCAGCTGCGTGCATAGCAGTTGCGCTCCTCGTTGTTGTGGTCCAAATATCGCGCTCGCATCGATCATCTCTTGCAGAAGTTTTCAGCGATCAGCCGACCGACCCAATACTAACGCCGTTTTTCCTCGCCTATGATGCGGGTGATGGTGCTGTTCGCGAGCTTGAACGAGTAGCAAAGCCGTTACAAGGAGCGCTCTCCCATCGCTCTCAGATCAGTATTCTAAATGCTCTAAAACATAAGAGAGCCTATGGTGAACTTGTCGATTATGGCGCTATACCATTGCTGTCATCATACGGCAGGGCAGCTGGAGCTGAAACGAATCAGAAATCGGTGGAAAAAACCATGTCAGGGGTGCAAAAACTTTATGGAGAGCTCCATTCGGGTCAGGACAGAATTTCAGCCCAAAAATTTGTTGTGGATGATGAGCTGGCAAGGCAGCTTCTTTCCAAGAAAGTGTCAAAAAACAAGCTGAAGCGTGAGGAGGGCACGCTACGTAAGGACGTGGAGCTATCAATAGCAAAAGAGAAGAAAGCCTCTGAAATGGTGAAGGAAGGACGTGAGGAGTTGAACAAATACCGTATTGATATGAGGAACAACGAGAGAGCAAGAATCGAGAACGTCAAATACATGCGAGCGGCCGAGAACTTTGCAGTGCAGGCAACCAAAGATTTGAAGATTGCACAGAAGATAGATAACTCATCGGCCGAGAAGATAGACGCTGCAAAGAAGGTTCTCAAATATGCCCACGTTGCAGAGGTGAAGGCGAAAGTCACCAATAACCAGAAGAGCTTGAAGAAGATTGAAACAGAAATCGATTCTGAAATCTCCAGCATCCACAAAGCGGCAGCGAAACACAAACTTGCTCAAAAGGAGAGAGCTGATGCGAAAGAAAATTTATTTGTGTCGAACGTCATCCAGAATGTTCGCAAGCAAGACTTTGGGGGGATGCTTCCAGTGCATGTACTTGCTGCTGAAGGTAAAAGTGCACGTGAGGAGATCAGGGAAGGCTCTGCGGATTATCGCAATGCAGCTGCACGTTTTGCTCGCTCAAAGCAAGCTCTTTCCTTGGCTACCCGGGAGGACAACACTCGTCATGTTGTTTCATCGACAGAGAGGACCGACAGGAAAGCTCTTCAGGCTCTGGTGGCTGCCGAAAGATTGGACCGTGAGATCCGCAATTTGCGAACCTCTGCACATTCTGAAGAGAAAAAGGCGGCTTTTGGTATCAATGAGGCAAAGAAATATGAATACAGAGCGGCAAACCTTGGCGCAACCTAAGATTGGAATAAAGCATAAAAATGAGCCAGTGCAATGACAGTCCCAAGAAATTTATTTGTTGAGCGAGACTGGGATTCCCACCCTTATACAAACAAGAAGAGTTCCTCCAAAAGCAATGAAGAAATATCCTGCATCAGATTCCATCACATCTATGCACTGCACGAGGATGTAGCTTACCGCTTATCTCCAGCAGATGAGTTTCACCAGCAGATCCTTCTCCCTCAAGTTGCTGCAAGGCAAAGATATTACTCCAGTTCGTAAGGCTAACCAAGACCATATGGTAGAACCTGCATTCGATTCCTCGCATGACTCACCCGCGCCCGCATAGTAGAAAGGTGCTCCTGTGAAAAGTTAGCTCGCCATGAGCCAGGCTGAGCACTTCGCTCACTTGATTTTTGTTAAGTGCATACTGAGCCTGGCCGGGTACATAATAGACTGGCCTCCCTTGTGCATCAAACGTCCTAGCAAGAGGTCGCGATACACTATCTGAAGAACTCAAGAAACTCGGCATTTCCTCTTCATTATAGCTTTTTAACATTTCAAGGGTCGATTCACTTTCTGCTGGATTCAGATCCTGTTATGATAAAGTTTACATAATGCTGACATAATTGATAGGAACAGACCTTCGCTGCGCATATCGAAAACACTGACAACAATACAAGTGACAGAAATTCATTGATATGTCTTGTTCTGCCCATCACTATTCTGTGAACGTGTGTCTTGTGGGATAATTCGCGATGTCAACTCCAGGTGATTGTTCTGTTGTCCTTACAATCTCGTCTTTTGCTCTTACCCCTGTACCCTTGTGTTCTTGCCCTGTTCAACCATACCACGAAAGGCCGCCGGATACTTCCGGATATTCCCGGATACCCGCAGCGTCAAGGGTGGCCGGGCCCGCGGCCGGCCCGGCCGCCCGGTCCGGCCTACCGTGAGTGACACACGGTAACGGGAACTAAGGCTGCCCTGGCAGGCTGAGTTAAGCCTGCCGGGCCGGGGGGCATAACCGACGGACTCCCGCACCGCTGACTCGCCGGACTCCGGGACACTGCCGCTGTGCCACCGTGCCACAGTGACGGCGCTTTTTAACATAACCGTTTGAGTAAAACTTTCAGAGCCTTGAAGGTGAGTTAAGGGACTGAGCGGACTCGGATGCAATCAAGAATGACCGTCCGATCGGCGACAGAAGGACATACCAGCCGTGCCAAACAGATAGCGCCGAGTTAATACTTGAGGGCCCACTAGGCTCAGCGGCCCCGGTAGCCGGCGGCCGGGGGGCGCGGCCGGCCCCCCGGCGGCCCGGGGAGTGACCGTATCGGACCCGTACACTGTGACTGACTCGGCGGCCGAATGCGGCACTGCCGCGCCAGTGGTCCGACCGTACGGTACGCCCCCCGCGGCGGCGGCGGAGCCTCCGCGGGCCGGGAGCCTGCCCCGCGGGCCGGGACTCAGTACGGCGGCGGCCTACCAGTGACTTGACTCGTACGATCACCCGGTGCCTCAGTGCGATAATCCGATCCGACCGGCCGCGCCAGACTCCGATCGATCTCAGGATTGGATTTTGATTCAATGATGTAATTTGAAATTGAAAACTGTGGCAGGGTAGGCAAGTAGTATGCGAGATGTGCTCTTCAAAAGGAAGAATCGTCCTGGTCCTTTTGAAACATTACGAATGACCGTCCGGTACGAGTTTCACTTACCAGATGTCTGTGTTCAAGGTGATATTCGACGCCATCAACAAGAGCATTGAAAGATGCAGAGATTCTGATAAAAAGGGTGAGTCAATGTCGGAACCGACGACTTGCTCTGCCCCGCTTGCGCTTGTACTTACATGTTCGAGTCTGCGCTCGCAGTGGTCCATCGTTTCCCCAGCTGAGTGTCTTGAAACTCAATCATGACTCTTGGGACTGCTGCAGTCGCTGCTTCATTGTCTAGGATGCGAACCTAAGACGCCAGTGAGACTGATAGGCTCCTGGCACACCTCGAAACCTTGTAGTCCCTCAGCTCCACGAACTCGAGGGAGGAGAAAAGAGGCAGCAGCGCCTGCTTCTTGTTAACATGCTCTCGTACCGTCCACACCCCCAACCTTCACGAGCGCCTTGCCCAAGGCGTTGACTGGACCATTCCCTTCAGCGACTTCGAGGATTTCTGTTCCCTGCCGTTGGACTGTGAGCTTCCATCAAGTGCGCAATGAGATGACGCCGAGACCTTCGCTTCATCGCCTTGTGCCATCTTAGCAGCAAGAACTGCAAGCTACCGTAAGCAACGGAAAACAAAGCAAACAAACTTCACCTGCAAGGTTTGCAGCATCTGAAGCAAGATCGCCCAGCTACCCCATGAACGTCAGTGGCCTTATCGACAGGACTCGAGCTCACTTTTCGCAACTCCTTGATTACATATCGATTCACCGTTTCCTGACCCACCCTCAGCTTGACCTAGCATCAGGTCTGTCAAAAATTTGCGGCACAGCGATGATGACCACCGTTGCTCTCGCTTGACCAAAGTTTCCATACTGTGAAGGTCCATCGTCCCATACTATCACGTTGTAATCTAGGATCTCGAACGGAGGCTGCGACGAGTTCCGAATGTCAATCACGTTCATCGGGAGAAAACAAAAATGCCTTATAAGCTGAAAGCGAGCGCCTGAGCATCAGATCAACTGAAGCATCAGCCCTGAAAATTAATTAGATATTTGGATCTGAATTGCTGAGGTACCCTTCGAAGAAATATCCCTTCTGATCAAGAGATCGCACAATCTGCATAATCTTTTCCGCACTGTACAAAGTTCAGTTGCTCATAAGTTTGAACAAAAGATAAACCTTCGGTTGATCTCGACATCATCGGCATACTTTCGCAAAGATTTGATCATCTAAAAAACAAGTGAGCACGAATCGGGCAACTACCGCCTTTTTTTTTACAGCCTCGGGCAGAACTTGCTTTCCTGTCTCAATATTGCCAGACTTTGAAGGACCTGCTTCAGACATCAATACTCAACAAGTTCAAAAAGAGGGATGCAGACCAGGAACAGTTGACAACAGATCGTTACCAACTTCAGATCCATCAAAGCGAATTCTTGCCTGAAATGAATGTATCAGTGAATGTTGCAGGGGTACTTCAACAAACTACAGTATCTCGATCATTCCCAGATGGAAAACATGCTTGTGTGGCGAATGACATGCTACCAACATATGCTAAGAGCAGTCAATCAGTTGTGCGGAGCCTCATCAATCGTTCGTTACCAGCATGAGGATTGTTTGGCTGATTTGCTTGCTCATCGACGTAGCGTGAAAGCGAAGTGATTCCTTTAAGGTGATCAAGACCTATCGTGCAGTCCTCTTTCATTGCTAGACTCAGCGTAGGAAGAATCGACATAGCGTTTGCATTTCCTGTTCTTTCGCCGTACCCATTCACAGTCCCCTGAATTACCCTGGCCCCACCTTTTACAGCAGCCAAACTGTTTGCGACTGCCATTCCCTGGTCATTGTGGCAATGAATGCCCACATTTGTTGTTGGAAACCGGGTGACAACCTCCCTAGTCAGCTCCTCTATGTCCCACGGCAAACTCCCCCCATTGGTGTCGCACAACACCAGCCAATCCACACCTGCGTTGACAGCGGCATCCAGGCAAGACATCGCGTACTCAGGGTTGGCAGAATAACCATCAAAGAAGTGCTCAGCATCGAGCATGACCTCCCGCCCAAGAGATTTCAGGTATGAAACCGTATCAAAGATCATAGCAAGATTCTCTTCTCGACTGGTTTCCAAGACCTGGTCGACATGCAGGTCCCAAGACTTCCCTACAAGTGTTACAACCCGAGCACCTGAATCCACCAGCATCTTGACCTGCTTGTCATCCTCCACTTTTACGTTCTTGTACCTTGTGGAACCAAACGCCGCAACCTTATCCCATGCGGCTGGAGGTAGCTCTACCTTGGCACGCTCAAAGAATTCGGCATCCTTCGGGTTTGAACCAGGCCATCCTCCTTCGATATAATCTACACCAAATCTATGCAATCGAGAAGCTATCCTAAGCTTGTCGTCGCAAGAAAGCGAGATCCCTTCTCCCTGTGCACCGTCTCTGAGTGTTGTGTCGTAGTAACGCACTGGAAGCGATTCTCGTTGCGCTGGGGGTACTTGGACTCCCTTCACGCTGGGATCAGAGGCGATCATACTCAAACAATTAGATGATCTCGTCTTTGCTGCTACTTGACGAAGCGAGCACACATGCGAGCCACGGCGCGAAAGCGTCCCTCCACATACGTTCAGACGGGGTTGGATCCATGCGTGAAGCACTCTCCCCTCCGCCGAAGACGCGATCGAGGTGGTTGATAGCATGAGGCAAGAGATCCTCACAAGCTGCAGGAGGCTCAGCATTGTCGCTCTCCTCATGCCGCGCTCCTCTTCGTTCCAACCTCTCGTCGCTCCCTGCATGCGGCGCCCACCCTGCTCTAGCAACCCATGGGACCACCCTCCCTCTCTTAAACTAAATAATGGGTCAACCCCACCCCCATAGATACTTGAACCCACCTGGGTACACAACACCCCCAATTTCATATTTCAACACCCCTCCTCGGAGCATGTTTCACCCCACCATATCTTTCAACCTCCTACCCCACCTTCTTCATTCATATAAAACTACCCCTCCTGTTCCCAGCCAACCCCTATCGACATTCCCATGCTCGCTGGCTGCGATCCGCCTGCTCGCTGAACGCGTTGCTGGCCGACCAGACCTTGCCGCTTAGCTGGCTTCTTGCTGGCTCCTCATCTAAGAGATGAAGCTGACCATGCTGTACGCCCTTCTCTTCGTTCCTCTCGCTCTCCCATCAAAACCCAAAGGCTCCAACCTGAAATTGGCAGCGAAGATCGTGGAAAAGAATGAGCCCAAGATACCTGTATGGCTTGCAGGACAGGAGTTGTACAAGACTGAGAGGGTTGCCCTCTTGTTGAGAGGCGCCTCACTCGATGAGGAGACCAAATGTAATCTCTTGGACTTGAACACTTTGAAGAAGCCAAATGCACTATTACTTGGGGAAAAGATTGATGGAGGAAAACTTCAGGGAAATTCATTTTTGGAGGATATTTGTAGAAAGAAGCGTGCTAGCATGTATATTCATGCCTCAAGCACTCAGAAAAAGCCCCGTAATCTTGCATTTGGGCGGCTTTTTAACGAAAAAATACTGGACCACTTCGAATTTAAAATCACGCGAAGTTCAAGAAATGAAAGCAATAACCATACATCAGTACGGAAGTTTCCAAGTTACGGTTCTCCTCCTTGTTTCGTCTTTATCGGACAACAATGGCAGGTCTTCTCTCCTCCTTCTCCTCCTTTACCTTTCCTTCTGCCCCTCCCTTTCTTCTGATCTACCTCCCTGCTTTCTATCCTGCCTTCAACTCTCTCTCCTCGCCTCCAACCATTCCTTCTTGAAATGTGGTCAGTTGCTCACGCTTTGTATAGAAAGACAAAAATCTTTCTGAGTTCAAGAATTTACTCATCGACTGTTTCGGTGTCCGACTTGGCAAAACTGTATCAATGGACAGCATTGAGCATGCCATTGTTTGTGTAGCGCACAATCAGACCGAAGTGTCTTTGATTCACTATGTGATCGAGATGGTGAGTTGGCAATGAGCGCGATGAGAGCAAGATCATCACATTGTTGGATAGGGTAAATCGCTCCAAACCGTCAAACTTCACCTGTCCTTCCCTGATTGTACCATGAACGTAAGAGCTATGAATTCCTCGCTTTATTCATATTGACTGTTCTCAAGCTCCGAGAATGTAAGCTGGCAGATGTTAACATTCTAAGAAAAGCTCTTGGAGTCGTACGAGAAGGTCTTCACTTCATTTTGTCGTGAGGGATCTTTGTGTGTACTCATGAAACCATTTCAGTTGGACCGGAAGCACAGAAACGGGCAAAGCGAAGATTGGAGAAGAAGCAGAAAGAGGCAGAGAAGCGACGAAAGCGCCTGGTCTTTGCAATCGGAGATCTTCAAAGCGTTACTGAACTGATGTGCAGGTCGAGGAAAAGAGAAAGCAGTGGCTGGCCCAAGGGATCCATGCGACGCCCGAGATGCTCCAACAGTACGCGGAGGAACAAGTCAGTCACCTTGTTTGATTGGTGTCATGCATAGTGACAAATTTCTTACAGAACGCTGCTGCGGTCAAAGTTAAGGCACTATAGCATACAAAGATTTGTTTATTTAGTAGAATTGAGATCGAATACAATAATTGAGGTCACAGTGATGTGGCGGCGTTTGACTCAAATTCACCCTGAACCCTAATTTAGTTGTGTTGTTGGGCTGCACCTTATTGTTCTTGTTCAGCTCCGCTAGCTCATCTTGATTCCTAGACATCTTGTATTCAGCACTTCACAACCATGGCATGCATTTTTGGTATACCGAGAGATACTTTCTTTCAGGTTCTCGATCGCTTTTTGTTTCTCCTCATATTCCATTGCTTGTGACAAGCCTAGCCTTCCCTCACTTTTCATAGACTGTCAAAGACGTCAGTCTTGTCTCAGAACCAGAGTATCGCAAACCTTGTACTCTTTTATGACTAGCTCCAGCCCAGCAAGCTCATTTTGCATGTTAACGCTGCCAGTATGTTCAGGAAACTTGAATCAATCTCAAGCAACAGCGTACATGAGCGTTTGAATCCTTTGCTTCTGTTGTGCAATGGGATCCCAAGGGGGAGTGGGAGGTCGATAAGGAAGAGAGCTGTGAAACTTCGTGTCATGCGGCATCTCCAGCACCTGTCAAAAAGACCTCAGGCCTAAGGCAAACAACAGAATATCTTTCGCCCAACCTCTTCACTGACTATCCCACGAGAGGCGGAAAGTTTCACCAACTTGGCAGGAAGGAGTTGTGAGAACTGACCCTCTTCTGTTCGTTGATAATCCACGTAGGTACCCGTCTTCACTCTGATTTTCTGCAAAGAGTTGCGGATAGTGCTTTGGATGATCGGATTCGGATCCCCTGAGTGAGCTTCGATTCCTTCCTTCTCCTCGAGCATTCGCCTTGCTTCTGCTGTTGCCTCAGGGTAGCAAACTTTGTTCAGCAGAGCAATCTTTGCAATGCATTCTACAGCAGCTCGTCGACAGCCAGGATCTTCATCCTTCATCAAGTCTGTCAAGTCTGCCAGATGATCAGAAGTGTCTCTTAAGGGATTTGCGTTACCCGCAAGCAACCAGTGGTCGTCTTTGGTCAAGATTATAGCAAGCATAGACAAGCAGTCTGCTCTAGAGACGTCAGACTCATCCTTTCCACGAGCAATCAGAGTCTGTATTAGTGAATGGTCTGCTATCAGTGTCATGGCATCAAAGACAAGGTCCCTCTTCTGCATCGAAGTCTCTCGAAGCAAAGAGAGAACAATATTCACAGCTGTTGCTGATCCTTGCGTCACGATATTCGACAATATGTGTAGTGCAAGATGCCTGCATTTCTGATTGTCGCTGGTCAATTTCTTGCAAATCGTTTCGATAGCCATTTCATCATCATATTTGCTCAGTTCAATAAACAATTTCATGCTTGCAAATCTGATTTCATCACTTTCATCTTCGATCAAATCTGCTAAAACGCGGAGAAGTTTTTCTTCTCCCTCTGTCCAATAAGAATAACACGTTGAGAGTGCAGCCAACTTCACTTGATGGCTCCCATACTGTAGCAGGTCTATGATCTTCATCTTGACAATGCTTGAATTGAAGAATTCAGAGTATCCCACTTCCACGGACAGTTTCGAAACCTTCCCATCGTTCTTTTGACTGACGCTGTTGAATCCCTTGACCACCTCATTGTCCTCATGCAGCGTCAAGCGGAAAGGATGCATGGCAGGATGAAAATCATGTTCATCCAACGGAATGGACTTCAAGGGAAGCAAGCACTCGCCAACAAAGTCATCCACTTCGCCATCCTCATCCCACAACGAGAAGACAAGCACATCTTGAGAACGGTCTTTAACTTCATGATGGAGGCTCATGTTCCATTTTGGATTCAAGTTTCGCCAAACGATTGGTGTTCTTCCCAATTCATTCTCCTTATCTCCACTACGTAGCAGTATTCTGCAATATGCATCACAAGAGCCAAACCTGCATGAAGCCGTTAAATACAATCCCTCTAGATTCTATGATTGAATGGTACTTGTCTTTCTTTGGTAAATTTGACGATTTCAATACTACGATCTTCAATTCCATGAACAGTTGATTTGTGTTAGGGTCTCCAATTCTTTCCAGAGCTTTGAGAGCCGCGATCTTGACAAGGTCGTCTTCATCGTTCAGTCTTGGCATGATGTACGAGAGACAAACTGAATTCCCAAAGTTCTTCCTGTCTAGTTTCATATCTTGAGTGTTCAAGGTCATCGGAAACCTTCAACAATACCTGCAGTCCCTAAGAGTGCCGCGGATCGAATCTTTGGATTTGGATGTCTTGATATACGGCCAAGAGCGCGAACAGAATTTTCAATCGTTTTCGACTTGTGAGGAAAGCGAAGGGAATTTTCAAGGAACACTGAATCGTGCACATCAAGTTTCTATGCCAGGCTAGTAAGGATCTTCACTGACAACAAGATAGTACCTACCGCCTTTCCTCGCATCCATAGATTGCTGTCCATCCAAATGTCAGGGTTCTGCACACGAGTTGCTCTATCATTCAGGACATGCTGACCTTCGAAGAATTTCTTTCTCTGATCCTGTCAGAGGGCTTCGCAGAGTTGTCATCCTGAAGCATCGTGAGGTCGATGGAGGTGGGTAGGAGCGCTGTCGACCTTTCGAAGCTTCCTCCTGCGGTTCGCCTCAAGTCCTTGCTCTCTGCTGTCATCCCAGTGCTTCTCGACCTTCTAGTTCGACTTCTCCCATCCCATGTCCCTTCCGAGCTTCCCCTGCTCCGTCCCGTCGTCCACCATTGCATAGCAACGGTAGTCACTGGTGTAAGGGGAGTGGTTTCAGCTCCGAAGTTTGCTGACCCGGGCCTTGGGTAGGTTTCATGCAACAAGGGGTACGGGTGGTATTGATGTGGGGTAGTCACCACAGAGAGGCCTGTTTCATCCGGGGAATATAGTGGTAGGGGTAGTCAAAATGTGGGTAGGGGTGGTGATGAGGAGGGTTGAGTCCTTCATCATTTTAGGAGGCGAGATGAATTTGAACTAGATCTCCCGACTGCCCCCTCCTATCCTCTCCTCCCTACGTCTCCTCCTCCTCCTCCTGCCCCGTCCTCTATTCCTCTGGTCTTCACCTTCCTTCCCATCTCATTCTCAATCGGACACATCGTCCTCCGCTTTGTCTCATCGCGATTCAATCGGATTCCCCTCGTCTTCATCTTGATATCGGCTCTCAGTGTTCTCTTAAGTGATGCTCCGCTGGCTCTGACCAACAGTGTCAACATGCATTGTCATGCCGCAATCTCGCTGAACAGACGACGATGAGATCACTGGCTCCATTGTTGCTTCTTCTGTTCTCAGGCATTGCCGTTTGCTAGTCACTCTGCCCTGCTCCACTTCCAGGTGATGGTGTCCCCGATGAAAACCAGAGAGATGGTAAGTGACTTCGACATGCTCACAAGCACTCAAGCGTGTAGTTGACAACGCGACAGGTGCAAGTGTTCATCAACACTGACGATGATGCTGTTATCAACGCACTACCCGGAGTTTCTTCCGCGCTTGCAAATAGGATATTGAAGGCCAGGCCCTTCAACAGCTTTGAGGTCGCTTGTTGTGTGAGTCGTTGGAGCTGACGATGTGATGGTCAGGAGCTCTTGTCCGTGAAGGAGATGTCTCTCGAACTTCTTCGCAAGTGGATTCAAAACGGGTTTGAAATCCAGCTGCAGTTGAGTCACTCCAAATCTGTTCCTCGACGTCCTCCTCTTCCAAGACTTGAGTAAGGTGTGAACTTGTTGCTGCCATGGGCTTAGACCGTTTGCAGGCAAGAAAAGAGCAACTCGAGGGGGAAAGAGGTTACCCTGTGAACTTGTTCTACGTGTCCGTGTTGAAGGTGAAATAGGCATCCTTGTCTGCGAATGAACCTCCCGAGCCTTCGCAAAAAGTGTCACAAGTGGAGGTGAGACGTCTTGATCAATTCCTGCAAGTTCACAAATGCAAAAAGGAGATGGGAAAAGATGACCTGATGCTCATGCTCTACAATCAGCTCGATGCCAGACTGCGGTGGCTCGAACACAACAGGATTCGACGAGACATGTTCCGTTACATGGATCAGTGGAACAGCATACTACATCAAAGAAAAAGGTAGGTTGGGTAGAAGGTACCAACTACTTCTTGACTGCTGACCTCATGGGATTAGACTAGAATATTGCGAATTCAACCTGCTCTTGCGGACTTTTAAGAGACTCACGAGAAGAAAACTTCATCTCTGGTTCTTCCACACTCGCAAGAAAGTGAGGCTGCAAAAGATTGGTAAGAGAGAGCCAACCTGTGTTCCGCTTCCTCTATGATTTGACTTCACCAAAGGAGATCGCAAAAGGCTGTCGATGGCCCTCCGAGCTAGAATGAAAGCGTTTCATACATGGGCTCGATCAAGTTATTACGTGATGCTGCTAGGAAATGCCTATGCAAGTTTGATGGGGAGGTTTTTGACACGAAAGATGCGCTTTCACTTTGCGCAATGGAGAAGTTATGTTGATCGGAAGAGTCAAATTTCTGTTACAGCTTGCAGAATGCAATCTCATTGGATGTTTAGATTCCTTCGCAGCTGCTTCTTGAGATTTCACGCATATTTCGTGCAGCGAAAGTGATATATCTACTGAATTTTGAATGATTTTGATTGACGAGTCAAATTGACTGCACAGATACGTTCAAAAACGATTATTACAAGCAATCAAACGGTAATTGTAATTCTGCTACTCATTTCTGTATATTAAACAATTTGAAATTCAGGAACAACTCGAGATGTTGCTTATTGATCTTCTCGAGCTGGTCGAGCAGGTGACATTGTGAAGTTTTGTGAAGTTTTCTTTGCATCTTATGATACATTTCGTGATAGCCATCTACGTCAAATGTCACTTCGAAGCTCTAGAGCTACTTTTGCGCAACTCATAACTCTGCGGCGGAAGAAGACTAGTTTCCGTTGTTGGCGTGAGTTTCATGTTTTGTGAAGAAAATGTCTTGAGGAAAAGAGCAGGCGACTTGATTGCAGGAGGCCCGCGTCGATCTGTGCATTTCGCAAACCTAGACAAGGAGGAGTCGAATCGCCTGCTGGGAATGAAAGATCAGGGTGAGAGCTCCAGCGCTGGCTTGAGCTGGCTGACTGCCACGGCAGTGCGACTCAACTCCCTCGTGTGGAGCTGGAGACGCTTGAACAAGATGCTAAAAATATGGAAAGTAGCAGCTGTCGTCAAGCGAAAGATGTAAGCTGCTCCTTTTATCTTTTATGGCAACTGAAAGACAACAGCTCAAGGAAAGGAGAGACAGTGACAGCGAGAAAGCAGCTCAGTTTGCAGAGAAAATGCTTGTCGATATGGTTTGAGTCTACGCAGAGAAACAGACGGGCGCGAATGACAGGAGTGAAAGTGTTGGTCCTGTGAGTAGAGCGATGGCAGTGTGAGTACTGATGGCTGAGTTAACCTCAGGTCACTCCAGCGGAAGACAAGAGCTTGCTGGTGGCGATGGCTCACTTTTCTCTTTGATCGGCTCAGATTGAAGAGACTGGCGAACTCAATTACGAGAAGGTCGTCGCTTGTGCTCCTGACGAGCATGTGAGGTCGTGCACGAGACATGGCTGTCAAGTCACCGGTAGGTGCAGGGTCAAGAGCTGGGCTCGAGCTGTGCAATCCAAGTTAAGGAGCATCGTTTACAAGGAGTCAAGGATCCTAGAGGTTCAAAGACGCAGCCAGAAGATTTCTCTTTCCGCTGGGCTGCTTCTCTTCCGGTGCTCCCCCGTACTCCCAGCACCTGACTGACAGGTCTTGCAGTATCTTCGTCGGTTGGCGCAGTCTTGCTTTCAACACCGAGCGATTGAAGAATCTAGGAGTGAAGTGCTTGCTGAGATCACTGTTTGCGACGATCACTCGAGCCTTCAACATGTGAAGATCATCAAACTTGGTTTGGTTCGACCTTGACGTCTTTCCAAGTTGGAAAGAAAGCAGCTTTTTCACGCAGCAAGAACGAGGACCTCGTATCCACATCTTCTTCCGGTATGGTCGTGCAATAGTCATGCACTGGTGCAGATGAAGGGCTGATAACAGCATGACAGATGTTGGTTGTTGACCATCATCGGGAAGCATCAAAAGCGTCTGCAGATGATCAGACTCGTACGTATAAACGGCTGTGCCGCAAGCTGTTAACATGTTGAGTCAGAGGACACGTGGGATTATGACGTCGTTGAAGACAATGATTGAGCAGTGGAGATTGCAGTCTGACGCTGAGTGATGCAGACTACGTCTTGTTGTACATGCTCTTGACGAATGTCTGCAGGTCAAAGAACTCCAAGGTCTCAGTCAAGATTGCAGTGCGCTGGACCCTCATGACCTGCAAGAGATTCTTCAGGTCGGCTCCTCGACCTTCCCTTGTGCTTCTTTCCTCTCGAGGCTCAGTGAGAGCTGTAGGGTCTGGCACCAGCTCTCCCAACAGAGGAGAAAGCAGCGGCTCCTGATGAAGCCCTTGGCGAGGACGGCACGTGCTCGTCTGTTTCGTCGGTCGTTCACTCACTGGGCGGGCCGAGCGTAAGGAGATGGAGGAGACTCGGAGATGGTGTCTGACTTGTCTCAGTTATGCTCGGCGACGACGATGGCACGCAGGCTCTGTCATCCTAGCAAGACACGAATTGATGATGTTGTCGGACGCGTTCAGGTTGAGACCTCATGAGTGTTGGGTCTTGTGACCATCTCTCAGTGATTGGTGGGAGGCCTGTCCGAGGCTGCAGACGATCGCACAAGAGTCTGACAGCGACAGGGACAGCATTGAAGACTCTTTTTCTCTACAGGAAACTTTGCTCACTAGACAACAGCGAGCAAGTTTGCATCTCAAGTCAATGGAGAGAATGTGGAAAACTGTGCGCAGCAATTTGGCTTGCACGCTGTTAAGTATCATGCAGATGCGCATTCACTTCTTCCAATGGTGCGGACTGATTCAAACTCCTCGCGATTCTGCCAAGGAAAGTCCGTTGCTTCCCTCTAAAGCTGTCATCGTGAGCAACAGGTGAGGGTCCTCTGTTTCACCACCTGCGACTGTGTGACAGCACATGACAGCCCGAGAACGACCTGGTTGGACAAGAACGAGAGCTCGGAGGAGGATTCTGACACGAGAGAGATCCTTCCAACCAGCAAGAGGCGGATAGATTTCAGTAGACGGTATGCTCGAAATGTGATTTGAACAAGATGATAAAGGGCATGAAGAGTTAAGACTTGAACGTGACGGAGGTGCATCTGCTACTGTACCATAAAATTGCTCTAATGGCAACCACCATGTTAGACCCACTCTCTGTCCTCCACTCCTTTGGGAACTGAGAACTGTCGAAACTTCGGATCGACACTCCCATACGACGATTTTTGATTCGCAAAATCGCCCAATTTCTCCTGCTCCTCCTCCATGAACTCTCGCGTAACCGGCAGACCTGTCGTAGGGTGAGGTCAGAAAGGAAGAGGCAGGTAGTATTCCATCTACCTATGATCTTTCTGCCAACGTCCATGATCCCCTACAAACAAGTCAGGCAGGTAAAGTATAGCTCCCAACTGCGTTGGCACCAAGCAAACCCCCGTCGCCATGCAGAGAAAGATCACGATCACTACGAAGACAATCTGTCCAGTTGACGACTATTGATTAGAAAATATCAAAATACGAAAAGAGCACCTGAGGGATTATCCGGTAGGTTGAGTACCCTTTGTGAAACACAGCTTCCTGAAAATTTTTCCTTGCACGGGCCCAACACTCGTATTCTTTTCCAGGCTGGAGGCAAATATCAATGAGGTCCTGAAACCAACATTTGATCTAGTGTGACCTTATACATCCGTAAATAATTGTTCTTATCTTCAACTGTAAAATATTGCCACCCTGATGGCTCATCCCGCGATATTCCTTGACGATAAATGTCTTGGGACCGTAGCACGCTTGCATTCTTAGCATTCCAGTCCAATGCTCCTTGAATCGATCCTACCCTTACCTCAACCTTGAGGAGGCAGATCAGTATGGAAGAGAGAGTCGAGAGAGTCATTACTGGGACAACCACCCGCTCCTTGATCCCATCGATGGTCTCGTATTTCTCCCAATGACCGTTCCCAGTGACCGTGCAGTGAGCGTAAACATAATTGTGTCTCACCTGCATGAGCTGATGACTGAATGCAAAAGAAAATGCGAACCAATCTCACCTCGAGACTGGGGAGAAGATGCCAGAAGATTGTATAGACCACACTGGTAGTCATGCAAAAGGCTGCCAGGTAGAAGAAGAAGCGCTCGTCCGACCGCATGATTTCGGGAGCTCAGCGATCTTTCACAGAATCTTCAAGAAGGTATTCATTGCGTGTCAGCTGCAAGATAAATCAGGAGACCATGCCTCTCGTCCTTCTCGCACTCCTACTTTCCCGCCGATGCTCCCTTGGCCATGACGACCCTTGGAAGATTCGTTTTTAGTCAACTTGTGGGTATGAGGGTAATGAGTTCCAGGGTTCCGAGTTCAGGGCCGCAGTCAGCAGCACCGTCACCGGGGTGACCCGGTGCCGGCGCGCCGCCGGGTCCAACTTCACGCGGCCGGCCCGGCGCACGGCGGCCGGGCGGCCCTCCGACAGTGTAGCCTAAGGAACGGCAGTGAGCCGGCAGCCGGCAGCCGCTGAGCCGCTCACGCTCACTGTCAGCCTCCGCCTGAGGCCGCCCGGCGGTTCAACGGTTGCGGGCGGGCCGCAGCGACCATGAGGGCCTTTCGAATTCCGTACCATCCGGCTGGACCGAGCAGTGCCGCTGCGGCCCCGGCGGGCCTGCCGGGCGACCAGCCTGAGAGACTGAACGGTCAACGGTGGCCCGAGTCCCAGCACACATGATGATTCTTTATTGCACTTCACAGTGCTGACTCACCGGCGGCCACCCCGCCCCCCGCAATTTGATTAGATTTTTCGCTAGATTTCTTTCCCCCACTAGTAGCTCGCAATGGTTTGAAGACGTCAGGAGTCAGCCAGGTACAACTGCGCGGGACTGAGTCAGCGGGTCAACTTCAAAGTCTAATCCATTCGATCATGTCAAGTCTCCCTCACCTTCCCATGGCTTGTGGGGTCTCGCCCAACAGCTTGGCTAACCAGGGCATGTAGTCAGAGAGATCTCTGTCATTCTTGTCATTTCGATACGCATGTTTCATCAGAATCCTTACTGATCAAGTTGATAAGGTGGATTCAAAATCAAAATGCCGCAACCATTTAGCCGCTGATATCTCCGTTCATTGAAGTTCGAGCGAAGCCTTCAATCGAGTTGACACACCTGTCGGTCGATGGTTGGGTCTCGGACTAGTAGCTTGCACAAGAGCATCTTGTTTATCCCAAGTTGCTTCAACTGCTCGACCCATCAAAAACACGCGAGGGACCATTGACGAAGGCGATGCACACCTCACGCTCCCAAGTAGCTTGAAAATCAGGATTTTTGATCGGGAACCTATTGCATGAAAAGAGACAATTCACGACAGCAATACGTAAGCTGGAAACATTACCACACGAAGAATGTGCCGGTCGACCAACGACTGGAGAAACAATTAATGATTTCGAGAGAAGCATCAAACTGACATGTTTGCTTGCTTGATTTTCTTCAACACTGCCTTGAACTCGTTTTCTTTTTCATAAGGAGGATCGCACAATACCTACACTTTCTCAATTCCAATCGCGTTCCTCTTGAGAAATCACCAATCCTCTCTTCTCCAATGGTGGAATGAAAGATGTCCAAATTTGATAGCCTGCATGAAGTTGAGCTTTCTAAATTCATGCAATCAGCCATCACCATCCCCTTCCAAGAATCGTACACTTCAAGTTTTGACAGGTCATTCGTAAGATGGGTTTTTGAACACATGGATAGGACCATACTTTTTGTTGCAGTTCAAGTCGACAAAGTTAGAATGAAGTGCTGCGATCTCTTGAGGATGAAGCTCAGAGAGAACAAGGCGATCGTCCTGTAACAACTTATCCAGAGTACTTGATGTCTATTCCAATACCTCTCTCATCAGATTGTGTATCAAGATAGGACTGCCGGGATAGATCTGGATTTGCTCCTCGTTTAACGAGCTGAAGGATTTGACTGTATAAAAATAATCTCTGCATATCTGAAAATAGGGAGTAAAATGTGAGATGCTCCGACATATAATTGTCAACACAAAATGACGTGCATTACAACAAATAGCAGAGGTACAAACCTCAGGGAGTTCGCTTGAGCCAAACTTCTTATAGTATTCTTCCACACGATGAATCCCCTGCCATATTCTTTCAGGCACAATTTCTCTGAATATCTGCGCCTACCTGCTTAAATTCCGGACTCCGAGTTGCCTCAGGTGTCCGCAAGTCAAACAATCCAGTTGACCTTGCAAGGGGCGTAAGGCACTTTGGTGCTCATCCTTCTTGGACTCACGCATGAGTATCAATCAGCAACATGGGGTTCGGCTTCTTCTGCCTGTCGCATTGTATGGCTCAGTCTCATTGAATCGAATGAAAGAGTTCAAGTCGGCGTGAAGACTCACATATGCTTGATGGTTGTCATCAGAATACTGTGCTTCATCACGTCGCCAAAGTTTCCGGCGTGAAACGCGTGCCTGGAGAGAAGGAAGGTGACTGAAAGAAGGGGAAGGAGAGGAGCGAGTCAGCTATCACCGATAGTTGAGGGATCTTCGAGCCGCCGGCGTCTGCCCGTTGCTTCCCCCTAGCCTCGGCATAACCCTGCGCATGAACCGCATGTGCATTGGACTCATGGCTCTGCGGTGCCGCGGATGTCGGAGAACCAGAGAACATGGGAAATGAGGGGGATGAGTCTGCTCTGGAATCTTCCCTTGTAGCAGCAGGCAGGCATGGAGGAGGAGATGGATGCACTGCTAGTGAACGTCGCTCAGCGATCTGGAGGCATAGAGCCCATGCTGTAAGGCTCATCCTCTCTAGACGTTTCGATCCGGTTGACATGCTCGCCTCGCTTGCTTGACAGTCACTCCATCTTCTCGTTCCTCAAGAGGCGGACAGACTTTTACCACATACAAAAACCTGGTGACAAGATAGGTGATCCGTCTGCTTGGCTTGCTCTCAAAATCTTTGATCGGGCCCTCTTCTTTAGGATTCCCTGCAGGTGTTGCAAAGCGGATGGTTTTACAGGCTTTCAAGCACTTTGAAGATGATACGGAACTCTGTTCACCTAACAAGGAGGTAGACAGCGATGTTTTCATCGCAACATGACTGTTTTCTGTCAGGAACTTGAATCTCGTGGGGAAAGAATTCAAAACAATCCAACGTCAGGATCTTTGGTATTATCAGACCGTTTGCTCTTAGAACACCGCGGTGAATCACATCTACCAGAGCGCTGCAAGGTCAGAAGCGAAAACTACTCCAAAGCCAACAACAGCGACCACACCTAAAACATCGGATATGCCAAAAGTAGAAGAGACCAACGATACAAAATCCAGCTTTGTTTGCTACAATGGTGGAGAATGCGAGCGATACAAGTACAGAAAAGTGAGTTCGGAATTGCTTGGTAATGATTCATGCAGGTGGTCGCAAACCTTAGATGAGATTGTTCTCTATGTAGACTGCTCGAAATCCGGTGGGAAAGTGAGTTGTTGAGTCTTTGACTTGATGTCAAGAGAATTTTCTTAACCCAACTATTTGGCAGTTGAAGGCGAAGGAGCTAGATTGCAAGTTTGGGAAGAAAAACGTTTCTATTTCTCTTCGTCAAGGGAATTCATTGCCAATACTGGATGGGGTTGGAATTGATCATTCCACGTGAGAAACACGATGTTTGACATTTTGAATATCAGGAGCTCTTTGAAGAAGTAAAACACGAAGACGTGGTTTGGCATCTAGAAGAATCAAGTCTCTTTTATTCAAGAACGCCATGTCAACTAACAGTATACACAAGGATTTTTGACAATTAATCTGGAAAAGAAGAAGAAGACGTCTACGTGCTTGCTTGTCATTTGATACTTCCTGATATTGCATTAGTTGGTGGAAATGTGCATTGGTAGGAGACCGAGAAATTGACACTCAACGTGTGGATTCGACTTGTAAGCAAAATGCATAGCAGTTTCCGAAGACCGTTCTGATTTCAACTCCAGGTAAAATCGACGACTATGACGAACCGACGCAAGCTGCCATTCAGAAACTTATGTTCGACCAGTGAGTGTCACCCAACTTCGTTTTGGTGTCCGCGCGTTGATTCGTAACGATTGCAGACAACAGAAAATGCAGGGGCTTCCTACAAGGTCTGTAGTGTTCCTTCCTCATTACCGCTAATATGATAATGCAGCGACGAGCTCAAACAGCAAGAAATCCTAAAGAAGGCATGGAATGCCGAAGGTAGAGAATCTCCCATTCAACAAACATTGAGATGTTGTAGGCTCGCCATTTAAAGGAACGCCTTTCGATCCCTCTCTGGTAAACTTTTCGGGAAGTACAGGATTAGGAGTGGGCATGGGTGACGAACGTGATCCGTCTAGCTAAGCTGAAGCAATAAACATAGGTGATTCATTCGATGTTTAGTGGGATAAAAGATCTCTATAAGAGTGCATGCACTAACAGCTCGCAACACCCATGCTTAGAAGAAGCCAGCCTGAACAGGGCGGGGACCGCCGAGGGCGACGTCAGTTCCGAGGAGGCCAGAGTCGCCGTTAGCAAAGATCTCAGTGCTGTTGGCCTTGGAGACAGCCTTGGCGGAGTTTCCGTCCAATCCCCAGATGTGGACCTGGTGGAGCTGGGTGGTAGACTGGAAGGAGCTGTACATGCTGTAATCAAAATGTCAGAATTCTTGTCGATAACGACAAATTTCGTTTGCAACGAGAAGGCTCACTTGCTCTACAGAACAATGTGCACTATAGAACAAACTGGACACTGATTGAAAACATCCCTTGTACAGGAACAGCCTTCAACATTCAATGTGCAGTATCAGTGCAACACGCAAAACCATTCGAACACACAGCCGCGGAAAAGCATTCATTTTTAAGTCCATGACGACCGAGAGGGAACAATAACACATAATACAACCAAAAGAAAAGCAGAAGCCATTGGCATCATAGGACTGCAGCAGTACAAAACAGCAACAGACAGTTTACACACATGACGTTCTGAAAACCGCGAAACAAGGAACAGCCATGCAAGCATCACAATCATTGGCTTCATTTCTGACCCACACAAGCATTCAAGCTCATTCCCCCCTTCTCTTCCCCCCGCCCTCTCATCTTTCTGCATGGTGGGAGATGACCTTTCGGCAGGTGGCTCTTGGGTGAAGCCACGGGTGTCTTATAGGGAATTGGAACGGGTGCAGGTGATGATAATCATGGGGGTAGGGGTGATTTGGTGAGGGGTATGTGGGAGGTTGTTCAGGTACAAAAGTTGTTGTATTGAGGGGTAGGGTGATGATCTTTGCACACACTGGGAGTAGGGTACTAGTTCCGGAGATGCTGGAAGAGACAACCCCTAGGGGTAGGTACTCAATGGTGAAACGTAGGGGTGGGTGTGGACTTGTGTGAGGGGGGTCCATGTCCCTATGTTGACCAACGGAAAATAACGGTTTGGTGGCTGAATGCCGGAACGGGAGCAAGACAGTAGCGGAGGAGGGAGGAGGAACAGAAGGAGAAAGGGAGGTAGACATTTACACGAAGAAAGGATTGAAGAGCATTGTACAGAGGTTAGGGATGTATTCTTGTTCGTATGTTACCACCGATGGGTGGAAAGTTTGATTGGGAGGGTTGAACTAGCTTCATTGAATCTGGTTCGAGAGGCAAGTAGATTGTAAAATCAAGCAGGATCAAGTAACGCACAAAGCTCAAACCGATGATACAGGAGAAAGCCTTCCACATGATGTCTCAGTGTGAGGCGATAGGCTTATCAAAGCAATCAATTGTAACGCTGATCAAAGCAAGCAACCTCAGCTTGGTGCATAAGAAGGATAACATAGAAGATGTTTTGTCTTGTTGAACGTAGCTTGGCATACTAGCATATAGAACATGATTTAAATATATTGAAGGTTTCAAGGAATCACGCCCAATGCATTCACATCGAAGTTAGAAAAAGTATGCCGGGGGGGGGAACTCCATACTCTCAGGGTGCATGTATACAGTTTCCACAATGGAAAGCGTGCTCAAACCATGATTCTCCTGCTCGCTTGGCGAGCTTTGTTTGATTTGTCTGTTTGTTCTAGACAATAAGGTTCGTCACATTCGGATGATGTACCCCAGAAGCCTTGACAAATCTTGCATTTACCAAATTTTGGATTTTTGTTTGATTATTTGACATTCTCCTCACAGCCTTGTAGAACCTCCCTGAATTTGATATGGTTGTGTCATCAAGTAAGCGGAAACCCCGTGAAAATCTTACAGACGATGAGGTAGTGAGATGTATTCTTGAAATCAATTCGACTGACTATTCTCTTGTGTCTGCCCTTGCCCGCCTTGAAACAACTTCAGCTGAAGCAGCTCTGTGTGATCGCCGTGAGACAGCATAGAGACGAATGCCGTTTATGGAACTCCTTAAGGGTAGGCTTAGTGAATCACTTGGGGCATGATATCTGTCAACAGCTTGAAATTTGGGTCGCAACATTTTATGCGACAAAGGAAAGTATTCCTAGAGATAGTGATGTGGAAGCCTTTGCTGATCAAATGATCGAACGAAGGAAAAAGGGCTTGACATGATTGCTTAATTTTTTTTGTTTCAAAACATATTGTTTCAAAACAACCAAAATATTTAACAAATTAAAACATTGAGACGTTTCTAAGATAAAACAAGAATATGTTCATCCTGATCAGGAATTGACTTGTGCTATAGAGGTGAATCACGAGTCCTCCTCCCTCTCTCCTTCTACTCTACTCCTCTTGCTGCCTCCACTGCTGCTTTCCGCCCATTCATACCAACCTCTAGTCCAGGGCAGCAGGGGTGGGGGTGAGAGAACAGAGCCGAGGGGTGGGGTAGAGACTAAGGAAAAGAGGGGTAGTACAAAGATCCGCAATTTTGAGATGGGGTAGTATAATTAGTGTATTGGATGGATTAGGTAAGGGTGGGTTCACAATAACACTCTGGATCAGGGGGTGGGGTCATACCGCGCACGCAGCGGCGCGGCGGGCATGGCAGAGGAAGAAGGAAGATCAGGGCAGGCGAGGAGGATGGGAAGGAAAGCAGAGATTGAGAAGAGTGACGATGAAAGAGGATGAAATGAGAGACAACTCGATTCTTTTCAGAGGAGTGTGACGTGAGGAAGGGCAAGAAGTAGATTTGAGACAAAGATATGAACCAGGAATGTTCTGTAATGGGGTTGGATATCTCAGAGGCACCTCGAAGAAGGAGATGCTGCAGAATATGTAGTTAGTTGTAGAAATTCTCTCAGAGTACCGGGTGAGAATCCTTGAACACGGACAGAAAGGGATTTGAAGGGATCATTGTAAGAGTCGTGGATCCGTTCCGTCGCAGAAACCTCGTTGGGGTGAAGTTGTATTGGATTATTTATGTATCGGAAGAAGTGCGTACCATGCACCTGTCACTTGCTCATAGTTCTGAGCCGTAGTCTCCTGGCTAGCTACTTGAGTTGATCTAAGACTGGACTGAGGTTGTCTAACTCGGTCTCCTTTCGTAAAGAGCTTGCGGTTCTATGAGTAGGCCATTGCACGATGTTGTTCTTGTCTCACAAAATTCGTAATGTCTTCGCCTTTTGACCGAACCTTGTGGTACAGCTTTAATAACTAAGCTAGAAAAGCATGAGCATCGGAGTTCCAGTCAAGCTTCTGGTGCGAGAACTACCAGCTATGTGACTGCACTGACTTTGTCCAAGCATGAGGCTGAAAGCCACATCATAACTGTAGAGTTGAAGTCCGGGGAGGTAAATTTCTGAGGTTTCATGCCCGTGGACTGAGAATGCTCCTAGTTGTATCGTGGAACTTTGCAAGAGGCGGAGGACAACATGAACTGCAAGTACGTCAGAGCCTTTCTGGTCTTGCTGGTTTTGCCTCTTCTGACTCATAGAAAGCATGACCAATGTGACAATGACCGGGAGAGATGGAAGGTGACGCATTAGAATTTGCGAGAAAATCATACTAACATCATTTCAGTATCTCAACTCTTGAGCAAGTTTTCATCAGAGGCGGTTTGATTCGGTAAAGTTTATCACATTATTGACGCCTTTACCACATGTGAAAGTGTTTCGTCTTTAGATTTGTAATTTTGCCGGATATTCTTAAGAATGCGCCAATGTTCAAACGCATAGGTAAGGTCCAGGTTCTCATGTGGCGACTTGTAACGTTTCTGCAAAGATCCAAAGCAAGGCATTCTACGAGGCAAAGGCGTTGGTATCGGACGATCGACGGCAGCGAGAGCTCGGTGAACTTGTGCCTACTCTTCCTCTACACGTGTTGTAATTTCTTGCGTTTGCAGTCGTGGCGGTGGCCCCCCTGGCGGTCCTCCTCGTGGTGGAGGAGGAGCAGTCAATGTCCGCCATTGAGCATGCTTGCTGCTCTTACATCAGAGCTTCCGTCCCATCTCGCCAGAGGGAAGTCGAAGAATTCGCTCTATGCTGAAGTCAATGTATCAAACAGGAGTTTCGATCTCAATCAATTGCAGGATAGTTTCCTTGATTAGTGATAGACGTGGCGAGGATCAGGAATGGGATTCGAGAACGAGATCAAGAGTTGTTGCTTTGAAGAATCAATGTTTAATAGATTTACAAACGTTATCACAGTCGTTCCTTTCCTCGGCTTCATTCGATCGCTGAAATTGAGATGCTAGTGATGTGTTCTTCTGCGCAGGTCATTTGCAAACATTTACAGAGAGCTGTGATAGGAGTCATCAATCCTCTCTCGCTGCCACACTTTCATCATGATTCCGCCTTGAACGACATGTTTAGCTGTTGGATCCTTGAGGAAGAAACTTGTACCTGATATCCGCCCGATGTCCGTCAGATCGTCAATCGGCTTGTCGACAATCGTGGACGACCCCTTCACTTTGGTTTCTCCCTCCAGCCACCTACTCATCATGTTCATGTCGCTTCATCACAAGCTCTCACTGCTGTTACCAGTCCGTGAGGCCAAGAAAGAAGTTGGCGCGTTGGGCCTGCAGTTAAGATCAGATTCCTGTAGATGGGCCTGAGCTCACGACACGGAGTCACCTTGCTCAACTGATCGTCGGAGACCTGTATCTGTTTCCACATCTCAGGGCTCCAAGCTGCCATCTGACCAACAAGATTGAGGCGACATCGACAGCAGGAGAGGGAGGACAGACGTTGTTGTTGGATTGAATGAGAAACTTGTAGACGTCGTCGGCGTCGAGCACTGTCGCTTGCTTGGTCATCCACTTGCTCTATGCCCAAGTTCAGTTCAAGTGATGAAATTGGTGGTTGACAAGGGACGGGGTGGTCTACCTGAATGATGGACATGACGAGGTTGTCTAACTGTACATACGGCGACATGGACGGCGTCACTTTCCTGGTAAGTTTGGAATCGTCAGCAGCCGCCAGCCTTTGGAGGCGGATGAGGGAAGACAAAACAAGGGAAAGTGAAGGGAGGGATCGATGGAGAGGGCCAGGGAGGACGGAGGTGGGAGGGAGTGGGAAAAGGATGTCAGCTCACATCTTGAACATGCTTTTGAAATCGGTACGCAAACGGTCGACTGCAGCCTGTTCAACAGCAATCACTCTGACAGCATTCCAGGATTTCATTACCAGAACATCGCCGTAGGAGGGATGCTTTGAGTGGAACTCAGCGGCCGCTTGGGAGTAGATGTTATCTCCCGCCGGTGTGTCTGGAAGGTCAAGAAACCTCTGCTATAATGATCAGCGGTGCCACCATGTTCCTCCCGCACCTTCTCGTAAGGGGGTAGATTCTCATGCGGCAGGAGCCCGTCTCTGTAGAGGCTTCGCTTCCCCAGGCTCGGACGGTACCAGTAAGTCCTCCTGCGAGGAGCGGTGATTGAATTGCCCTCATGACACGCCGGAATCTCACTTGAGTGTTTCGTCATGGAATGTCTCTGGTCTATTCTTCGTCAGGTACCAGTCCAGCGTGCCGAAGAACGTGGCTGATCCAAGCTAGTCAAAAGCAAAGACATGATTCGATTGAAGCGGAGTACAAGTGTTGTCGTCCTCTTGGAACAAGCTTGTTGTTCCCAGCATATAGCTGAAGCAGCAGAAGTCAGAGCGTTCTTCCCCTCTTGCTGTTTCGCATTACGGTGCATAAAAGTTGCTGATCCCCGCCCACTTGTCTGCCTATGCCGTTAACTCCTCCTACAGTTTGGCATAGGCACCAACCTGAAGTCTCTTTGTCCATCTTTTCTCCTGTATAGCTAGAAGTTGAACCATTCAGATCGATGTTGTCACAAGCAACCACTGCTCTTGCCTTCCGTTCTTGTAGTACTTGAAAGTTTCATGTCCAGGAAACCAAAGCTCACTGCAAAGAAAATCGTCGGCGATGCAAAAACATGTCCTGCAACACAAGTCTACCTCAAAGGTTTCCAAGCACTTGTATCGTTAGGATTATTCCATGGACCATCATTTCCATCTTTCTTAAGATCTTCGAGTAGATCTACCACCAACCGCATGATCATGCACTTCAGATTGATGTGAGCAATCTTACCTTTCGGCGGTCCCGGCATGAACCCCCGCAAACCATGTTTGAGCCTATCAACACCATACAACTCGTGGTCTTCCTCATAGTTGTCCTCGAACTCCTTCTTGGATGCTTCATATCGTTCGCGCACGCGAGCAAAATGCTGATAGTTGCACTGCGGCGAGTTTCAGTGATGAGGAGTTTTGAGTGCGAGCGAGGGCATGCCAAGGACTCATACCAATATTTTGGAGTCTTCGAATATTGAGACTGGAAAATGAGAGGCGTTGAGGTCACGAGGCTCATCTTCGAGGTCTCTCTGAAACGGTTCATCGTCCAGGTCTCGCATCTTGAGCTTTTGGTACTCGCGCAGGGACTTCCTATAGCTCTTCATATTGCTATGGCTCAAGATATTCTCTGCATTGTCGGCATAGTGAACCTCTCTTGTCTTCCTGTGTCTCCTGCCCTCGTTGGTTTTTTCTGGCTCGGGCTTTGGGACCATGAAGTCTGCAAGCCCCCCGCCTCGAAGCCGCAGTTGTGCTCCGGATATTTTACAGCTCCTCCCCCCGCACGCTCTCCCCATTCCTTGACTCATCGTCTTCACTTCCACCAAATGCTCTTCATGTCCCATCCGATCGCCTCCCATGCATGTCGCTATCGCCATCGCTGCCACCAGACGCAGCCATCCTCCAACCATTCCGTCCGCCCGATTCATAACCCCACCCCCCGTCGAACCATCGAAGGAGGGGTAGTCAAATCGCAGGGTAGGTTGCGCCAGACAGCTGCATTGCGGAATCTGCTCGTGCGAGAGGACGAGGAGCGAGGACGAGGAGCGAGCGAAGAGAGGCAGAGGCAGAGTCAGCAGAGAATTCAGACATCCTTCTCACAGTCAGGTCAGGATCTGTCATCTCCTTCCTCACCTCTTTGCCTCCCTCACCAACTCCAGTGAGATTCACCTTGCTGTATCTTGAACCTAGTTCAATACCAGATCAAGATGTCCAAGCAAGAGCAGGAGCAGAGGGTGAATAATGCCAAGAACGAGATTTCAGCATTCAGTGACATGTACAACAGGTAAGTTTGCTGTGATTTTTTTTTTTGTGTTTGCCCTGTTTTTGTCCAGATTCTATCTCGATCCCAATAACCGCAAATGGTAGGATGCTGAAGCAATGTTTTGAGAAATGCGTAGAGCATTATCATGACAGCGAACTTGCTCTTGGCGAGAACGTGTGCATTGATAGGTAAATTTGATGTTTTTGATTGCTCAATGCTTCTATACCCCAGGATCGGGATGGTTTGAATGGGAGGAAAATGACCCTGCTGATAGATGTGTGAGCAAGTATGTCTCTGCGCAAGAGAAAGTTGGTGCAACCATGACAAAGGTAGTCTGCTGACATGCGATCTCGAAGATAAGTCTGATGTGAGACATAATGCAGGTTACATCTCAGATGCAACAGATATGAAGCGATGCTGTCCCACATATGACAATCTGAAATACCGGCGTAAAGAATCTTTGTTTCCAGCCATGTAGAGCATTACATCTTGGTGTCTATCATTCTAATGGTATGAGCAACTTTCTGCCAAGACATCTCCCTTCACACTTGGAGTGTGAGGGAACAAACTGGGCATGCTCATCGAATCTATGAGTTGCACAGATGATCCGAGCCATCGTGCCATGATATGTCGCAGCCTCCCTGTCTATTCCAAGTTTCATCGCTCACGGTAATAGCGCAGACGTCACTGCGTCAGAACTCAGACAGGAACTGTCAGTGAGCCTCGAGCTTCGGAGTCGCTGCCAGAGTCAGTTGAAAGTTCCGCTGAGCGAAACTTGCCAACGACAGGCTTGACTATTACGTACTTCCTGGCCAGGCTCACCATGCCATGCCATGCCATGATGATGTACCGTGACTGCTGTCACCGTGGCTCAGGATGCTTAAAGTTCCGAGGGACGGTTCAATCTTGCAGCACTACTGATGAATGTGGGGCTGATCTTTGATCACATCTCAGTAAGTTTTACCCCAGTTTGATCACTGCCATGCCGGATCACTGGGGTCCCGCGAGGTTGCTCTAACCTAGGCTAGGCTAAGTTTCCGGGGAAGTTCAGCGGCCTGGTCGGGCCGTCCGACCTTACCGAGCTGAGTCACTAACAAGCCGGTAACCGCCGGGGCCGGACATTTACTAGTTTCAAGTTTAGGAGTCCGCCTCACGCCACTGCGCCGGTGCCGGCCCGGCCCGCCGCGGCCGACCCGGGGCTCCGGCCCGCTCGGGCACCCACCCGGCTGACCGCCTCACTGTCAGTGCCACGGTGAGCTGCTCCGCACTGCGGCGGCGCCCGACTCGAACCGGTGACTTGGATCTGTTTACCGTAGTACTAAAGTTTTAGTCACATCCCGTACCGGCCCCATGGCGACGGTAGGTCCAACTTGCCTTCCTGCACCCGAAGTTACCCCGAGACAACCCCACGAGAGGAGGGGTGGGGGTACTGCCAGGCCGTGCCTGTTCTCGTGTTAGTTTCCTGGTAGGGGTACTAGAGTCAGTCGGAAGGCCCCCCGGGTGGGGTGGTATGTTTGACGGTCAGGGGTTTCCGAGCACCGTACCTGACTCAATGGCGGGGACGAGCGGCAGCTGGAGTTGGCGAGAGGGACATGCGTCGCACCATGTCGGGGGGACGTACGTTGGCGAGTAAGTCGAAGTTTGACTAGCCATGGTGCATTCAGTGATGCTTCAGAGTTCTCATGTTGTTGTGCCTGTCCCATGACAGTGATGCTTTCGTGTTGGTTTGAGATAAACCAGAAGTTTGATTTCATTACTTGCTCCAACAAGACAGTTATCAGAAATATACAAAGCAATCGTACAAAACTTTAACTGATCGGCTGTTGTGATCTGTTTGACCGTTGTATTGTTTTTATTCAAGGTGGAAAGATGGGAAGCCAGTGGGGGCTGGGCAATTCACCGGACACTCAGGGTTGAAGTACATTGGTTCATGGAAGGACGGAAAAGCGAATGGTACCTACATTCTAATAGATAGACCTCATGGGCTCACGCACCAACTTCACAGGACAAGGAAAACTCGTGCTTCCCAAGGACTACACATTTGAGGGAGAATTTGTGGATGGCGTTTGCGAGGGAGAAGGTAGACGTGTATGGTGAGTCGGATGATTTAACTGTCCGGGACAACGTTCTGATCCTACGTCAGGCTGGATGGGACTTATGAAGCAGGAACCTTTCAGAATGGCAACCTCAACGGGTTCGGGAAGTCGAACCACAACGAAGAAAGTGAGTCTACCCTATTCTCAGATTTGATGGAGTGACTTGTCTGTTTGTTTTGCAACCGACTGTTTCTTGGCGTACCTCATGTGCACCTTGAAACTCCAGACATGACGTACGAAGGATATTTTCTTGATGGGATGCCGCATGGCTCGGGGTACGGCAAACTTCGAGGCGGTGAATGGTTTCGCGGTGAATGGGAGTATGGAAAACCTTTCAATGGCCAGTGTGTGCAAACAAAAGTTGCTGCAGACACTTTTGGAGATTTCATTTACATATACAAAGGGAGTTTGAAGAATGGCGTTTGGGATGGCCAAGGGAAGTTAGGGTATTTCGAAGAAAAGTTTGCAAGCAGAGAAATTTGGACTTACGAAGGTGAATTTTCCCAAGGTCACTGTCATGGTCAGGTAACAACATCAACTTCTTACATGTAGCCGTCTCTGAATCCCAGTTGTACTCTCGCAGGGCAAGAAGAAACACACTCTTGGGTGGTCGTATGAAGGGGAATGGATTGCCGATGAGATGGAAGGAGACGGCAAGCTTACATACAAGAGTGGTGAGGAGATAGTCGGACAATTTTCCCATGGTAGACCACATGGAAAGGCAGTGAGGACATCCAGCGATGGCCAATACCAAGATGGCCAATGGTCTCATGGTGAATTTGTGGAAGGAAAGTGCAAAATGTTTTGGGAAGACGGACGTATCTACGAGGGCCAGTAAGTTGCTGACTGCTGAGTTTCAGTAGAGCGAGTGAGAAAATGACAGGTTTCGTAACCGGAAGATAGATGGAGAAGGCATCATGAAATGGAAGGATGGGACGGAATTGCGGGGAGTGTTCGAGAATGGAAATTTCCCTAAGGAAGCCAATGTAATCGAACACGGGCAGGAAATGAAGTGTACGTTTCGTGGTCTGTTTGGAACCAACATAGGTATATCCGTCCCCTATTTTGCCGTGTCCGTCGACAGATGACTTTGTTATGCAGGCATGGATGCTTGCAAGGGACATATTCCCAAACCTGTTACAACTACATTCCTCACAGAAACGCTATCTCAAAACCATGACAACAATGGCAGGCGAAAATCATTACTCGGCGGACAAACAAAAGAAAAGTTTCTTTGGAAAAATCTTGCTTCTAAGCGCGGTTGGGCTTTGCTTCCTTTACTGAGCCGCAAGAAGCAAACTGCTCAAGATGACTCGGACGTCGCCGTTCAACGAACAGATAACTCAAGTGAAATTGACATGTTTACTCGGACATCATCGGCTCCAGAAACTTCGGCAGAGAAGGAGCTTGCCCACAATTTCCATCATCCAGCAATATCTAGGAAAGAGCAACCAGAGGAGAAGAAGACAAATGAGGTCAAAACTATCAGCGAGATCATTTACCGCACAACATCCAATAAGGACGTCTTGCATTCAGGATCAGACAGTAAGTTGGACAGTCCAGAGGAATCGAATATGTTTTCTCGTACAAGTTCTGCTCCTGTGTCCTCAAAACCCAAGTCCAGGAAAAAAGCGCTCAGCATGAGCGGGAGGCGACACAAGTCGCAGTCTTTCCGGAAGAACAATTTTGCTGCAGTTTTGAAGGTTGACGAATTGGATGGATTACGCAGAGTTCCATCAAGTGAGCATCACAAGGATCATGGCAAGTCAGAAGATTGATGAAGGGTTGAAAGTACATGAAGAATATAAACAAGATCCTGTGAATGCATCAATATCAACACGATGACGCGAGATGATTCTGCAAACTGCAATCAATCAATTCTATTCCTCAGAGAAGACTTGAGGAAAGCTTCCTGAAAAGAGAGTGGTCTTCATTCGAAACTTTGCATTAGACCGACAAGTTAACATCCTAATCAACAACAGATTCTCTTCGCATCGAGAATTAAGTAGTCTTCTGCATATCCCACCATGCTGCCTTAGTTTCTTTTGGTGTCAAGTGTTGTTTTAGCAGGCGCGTGTCACGATTTTCCATGTGATGATCCCACATATCCATACCGTGATAAACACGGAAAGGGATGGGCCCTTCGTTGGGCTATCAAACCAATCAAGTTAGACATGAAATGGCCAATTAACAAAGATAAGTTCTTAAAGGATCACATCATAAACAAGAACAAAACAGTAGCGGCATCATACCAAAGGCACATCAATAGACGTCAGTTGAAAATCTCGATTGATAGCACATAGAAAATAGAAACATGGAAGAATGGCAGAAGAGGGAGAACCTTGTTAGCCTTGAACAACCAGTTGACACCTGCTTGGCAGAATCCGATGCCTGCGACACCTAAGGAGATGATGAGGAAGGGAGGGAGCGACTGAGCAGGCATTGCTTCTCCGCGCCGGCGGCGGCAACCGTGTACAAGTACTTCTATATAAAAACTTTCTTTTTAATATTCCAACCATACATACACAGTTTTTGATTTTATACAATGCCTTTGTAACAATTTTTGTATGAATCTTAATTTGACTTACAAATCAAAATATTATTTATGCATTCTGTACCCAGAATGAGCTACCCTCTAAAATGTTTTAGTAATCCTCAATTTGGAGCAAAGGTATGGCAGGAGGCTTGTGAGGCGACAGGGGAGAGAAGGCGAGAGGATGATTACGTTGCGAGCTCTTTGATGGGGGGGTACTAGCCGAGTACCCATGTACTCGTAAGATGGAAACAGCTTGAGACAATGAGATGTAGTCTTCGTTTTAGAGTTTGTTCACTTCCAGTCCTGTCGATATTTGAAGCAAAGGTTTTAAGGAACTGATAATGTTTTTTCCTGCAGCATCCTTACTTGTGTTGAAGAAATGTTTGAGATATTGGCTCATTGTGTTGAATATTCGGATCGAGCAGCGGGCATTTGCGGTCAGATCAATCCTGTTGTGACGATCAGCAACAACAAGGTTTCGCCTGGGGTTTGTGTGAGAGGAGCAGGAGGCCCCTGCACATTCACAGCAAGTAGCGATGGCATCTCAGGCTCTGTATCTGGCGATCATAGCAGCGCAGACAGTCTATGTAGCTCCTGGGACAGCAGTTTCTGCTGAGGCCACCTGAAGCTTGCCTTGGAAATGTTTGCGTAATCCTTTTTTTCCTAACTTAAATTTTCATGAAAAGAATTCTCACTCTCTACCCATTTCTCCGTCAGTTCGTCAAAACGTAGAGGCAGCAACATCGTGGCGTCCTTGAAAGAGAGGTCATTGGGTTTCGAGTTGAAGAACTGCAGGGCCTGCACAGCGGAGGGGATGTCTTGGAACGTGAGGATGACTTCTCCGGTCATCAACCCTTCCTCGTTCAACAACAGCTCTGGCTCTACATCTGGTGCAAGCTTGTAACTTGAAAAAGATGCCTGCAATCTGGTCATGCTGAGCCCTTCACCAGCACACATGTTCGAGATGCCTTGATGTGTTGAGAATTCAGGTGCTTCTTCGCTCCCACCAGCAGCAGGCGTCCTCGGGGGGGAGGGGTGTCTTCAACCACCTGAGTTTTGTCAGTTGAATGCCGTGGACAACTCAGCCTACGAATTTCAAAGCGACTCGTCTCCTGCAAACTTGTGAATTGTAGAAACATCTAAAACGATTCTCCACCTTCCGAGCATTTTCCCATTGAATTTTGCCATCGCAGCCAGGCAAGTTTCTGATATGTCTCACCGACAGCACCATAAGTTGAGTGACACCTTTATCCACAAACTTGATCACTGCTTCGCCAGTCAACCACCTTGAGGCAAGTCAATTCTCTCAAGGGAGCTCAAAGACGCAGCAGCAGTCACCCGTCTGGGTCTTTGAAGAGCGCAACTCCCCCTTCAAATCCTGATTGAGGTCAGCATGTCATCGCATAGTCGCATGCCATCGTATCGTCATCCCCCACCTTTGTCTGGCCTGTTGTAGTTGGTCGCCACGGCTTCCCTCAGGTCTTCTAACCACTCATAGATATCCTCCCTGGTGCACTTCATCGGCAGCCCTGTGCTCTATCAACTCTTCTTCTCCGCATTCAGCTCCCACCTGTCAAGCTCAACTTGTGCGCCACGAGCCTGTGCCCTGGTAGCGGCGGCGCCACTTTTGCGCCCGGAGGTGGAGGCGGTCGAGGGAGACCATGCTCTTGATCAGCGCTGTATACGCTCTTGGGAAGGAGTCATTCTAATGCACAGGACGAAAACTTCTGGTACCCTGAACGCCTTCCTGGCACGTTGCGGGTCATGATCGTCGGTGAACGGTGGTCTGAACAAGTCACGGTCAGCTCGGATTGCTCGAGGTGCCTCAAGCGCACCTTGACCAAGAAGCCCTGCCACAAGGTCTCAGGTGCGTCACGCTAACGCAAACAAGTCATGCAAACCGTGACAAAGCCATCCTATCAGGCAGTGGAGGCGGGGGAGGTCGAGGATCAGGAAGGGGAGGAGGTCGGAACTTTCCCTTTCGCTCTTCCTATCCAGCTGGCTTGTGAGCAAGCAACCGGCTTCAAACATGCGATCACCATCTTCACATCGTCCGGCCGAAGCTCTGAAACAGAGATTCTTCTTTGAAACGTGGGCGTCTCAAACACAAGTTTGTCCTTGTGAAAAGCTCCTTCTTGCCCAACTCTCATGCACCGTCACGCAGCTCCTGAGAAACTCACCCGAGCGTTGATGTGCTGGAGCTGGAGCTCCGAACGCTTTAGCCTGCACAAGGTGCTCAGAAGAGCGCGCAAGGGGATGATAGCGATGGTGACCTCTTCCTGTCGATGCATGTGATGCCCTGCAATGGATCGGCGGAAGAGCATGTCTGGTGAGAATTCAAAGTGATCGGGCAGGACATGCTTCTCTACAACCAGCTCGTCAATCATATGTTATCAGTTTCACGTCAGCAGCGTACCATGCTTCTCAACGTTGGTAGGAACAGAGTACTTGGAGTATTTCTTGATCAAAGCATCTCTTTTCAAGATAGGAAAGCGCGAGAGTACCTGATCATCGATGACAAAGAAGAAGCAGGCCATGCACGAGCTACCCGTTCTTCAAGGGCTTCCATGGGCTCATCATCCATACGTTCTTCAAGGGGATCTACCCGCAGCAGCCTCTCAAGCGAGCTCTCCTGCTCTCGGATGGTCTTCTCTAGTAACGTGATCTCGTGAGCTATGCGAACCTCCGCCTGAGCGTAAGGGTCTGTTGTCTGATGCGCAAGCTGCTCGTGCTCGTCATCCTGGTCGGAGTTTGAATCTGAGTCGCTGAGAGAGTCTTCGGGCATGACCCGACTGCGGTATCGAGTCTGAGGGACTTCCACTTGCTCGCTTGTCTGCAGCTCCTCAAGCAGAAAGGCCTTGAACTCCTCAAGCTCCTTGGCATCGAAACTTCTCGGGCTTTCCAGCACAGAGGGACTACTGATGCTGCTCGGCGTGTGGGGGGAGCGAGTGCCGTTGGACGCCTGAGGACTTGGAGTGCCGGCATGCTCTCCCTGACCGGATAGATTCCTGGAAGCACCGAGCTCGGAGAGAGGAGACGAGCTCCTGCGTTGAAAAGAAGACTCGCCATGCAGGAACGGAGATTTTCGGACAGAATCATAGTTCCTCTCGCTTAGGGGAGGCGTCAGGTCTTGATGTGAGGTTGCCGATATTTGTTCTTCATCCATCTTCATCTCGTCGATCATGTTTAGCTCTGACACGTTTCTCTGCCTTTCAGAGCTTGAGGGTGCTCGTCGGCTAGCAATCATCCTTTCCTCCGATGCCAGCTTCAGGCCCCTCCCCTCAGCTTCCCTCAGTCCTGTTCCTCTCTCCTCTCCCTCCCTCTCTCACTACTGCTCTCCTCCTCCTCTCCTCTCCTCTCCTTCAGCCATCTCAGCGTCTTGTCGAGTCATCATAGCTGCTCAGCTTGTCGGTAGAAACCGACAAGCTGAGCAGTTTGTATGCTCTTCGAACGCACTCACGACTACCCCACCCCTACAAACATCCTCTCGTACCCACCCCTTTCTCGCTACCCCTCCTCGAAACCTGCTTTCCACCCTGTAGTGCAGGGAAGGCGATTCCAATGGTGCGAGCGAGGCAGCGAACAGACGCAGCGGGGAGAGGAAGGGAGAGAAGAAGCTGAGAGAGCGAGAGAGACAGGACGAGTCGAGTCACCTTAGCCTGTATCGACACCCTCCTCTTCCTTCCTCTTCCTTCTTCTTCCTTCCTCTTCCTTCCTCTTCCTTCTCCCTCCACCAGCACGACATGGGCATCGAAAGCTCCTGCTTCCCACGTCAGAACCAACAAGATCCGTTGCAGCAGTTCAAGTCGTGGGGACTCATCCACTTCCCTGACGAGGACGAGAATGAAGAGGATGGCGGAGATATCGACGAGGTCATGCCAGGTCCTCCTCTCTGACTCCCTCCGTGACCTCCCTGACGGCGCAAATCAGGCCTCTTCCTTGGGGGGATGGAGGGAGCGATGCAGCACGACGAGCTGAGGAGGAGAGGAGTAACCCATGTCTTGAATGTCGCAAGCTACAACCTCAGCCCCTCGGCCTACGATCCTGAAGCATTCAGGTACCTTATCATCTGTGCGGAAGACCTCCCTACAGAGAACCTGAGGACTCACTTCGACAAGGTGACGCCGCTGCTCGCGCGAGCTCCTCTCATGCTCACTGTGTTGGCAGACGACAAGCTTCATCGCCTCTGCCATGTCCACCGGCGCCGTCTACGTCCACTGCTATGCCGGAGTCTCGCGCGCGCCCTCTGTGGTGATGGCATTCCTGATGATGGACATGGGCATGTCCTTCAAGGAAGCCTACAACATGTGCAAACGAGCAAGACCGCAGGTGATGGTGAGAGGAGGAGGAGCGAGGCGTGAGAGCTCGACAGGTCTTCCCCAACAATGGTTTCGTCAACCAGCTCATGCAGCTTGAAGAGACCCTCAAGCACAAACCGACGCAGGTGGAGGCAGCAGCCGGACGGTTCCCCTCCTCCTCCTCTGCTCCTGCCTCTCACTTGGTACCGACGAGCAGCCTGCACCCTGTGAGGTCATTGTGCTCCTCTGCTCGAGTGACCGATGCCGCAGAACGCCTGAGAGCATCGCCGTGAGTGTGGATAGTATTCATTATTACTTTAAGAATCTCCGGGCGAGCATGCGAGTAGAAGGGAAGAGGAGGGAGTGGGAGGGTGCCGACGATTTCCGTCCTCGTCTAAGCGTCTCTAAGCTTGCTCATCAACGACCTCCTGGGGGTAGGGGTGCTGCTTCCTGCCTCGCTCCTGCTCCATGTCGGGCTAACCAGGTTGCTCCCCTCCATGGAGACGTGCCGGCTGGACAGCTCGAAGTTCTGCACAGCCTCCTGCGAGCAAGGATGGCGATGAGACAAGAAGAGGAGGAGCAAAAACGAAAAGGGGTGGGCAAGAGGGAGGAGGAATGTCGAGGTTGAGGTAGGTAGTGGGAGGATCAACAGGTCAAGGATGAGCCCAGGGGGATGAGGCAGAGAAGGTTACCGTCGCCTTCTCCATAGCAGCTGCGAGCTCTGCCATGAGGGTCAGGGGCACATCCAAGTCACGGCAGAAGGCAGACCAAGTTGAGAATGATTCTCCTGCTCCTCCCGCAAGATTCTCACTCGGATCTTCCTGCCCTCCTGCTTGTGGATGAGGGAGACCAGCAGCTCTGCCCTCCTCCCTCACCTCGTACAGTCTCTTTCCCTGCTGCACCGCAGGATGCTGCCAGCTCATCTCTGCCCCGCACGCGTCACATCCTCGCCTCCCTCACGGCAGCAGAGGCAAGGGGAGCAGGAGCAGGACAACATCGCTACCAGATGCCGCGGCGAGGCGAACACTCTTGTCGAGCTCCTCCAGATCGCTGCCGTCCGAAGTAAGACTCCTCCTCCTCCTCCTGCCTCTCTCCTCACCCGGATGCAGCAGCGGCAGCAATCTTCGAGATGTGATATTGTTCTGGACAGGAGAAGGTGGTGAGAGGAACTAGCGAACGAGGATATGGATCACCAATCTCTTTGTACTGAGCCCGATGTAACGCGTCCCTCATCTCTCGAATGCGATTCTGCGATGATCATCAGTCTGTTCCCCTCCGTCCTCCCTCACCTCCCTCCCCGCACCCCCTCCCCGCACCCCCTCCCTCTTCCTCCTCCTCACGTATGCTGCAAGGACGACGAAGTGAAGTTCCCCAAGGTCGATCTTCGACTTCTTGAGAGTTTTCTGCTCCGTCGGCTGTCAGACAGCAACGACCTCCCCCAGCACATCACCTGCAGCTCAGCGATCTCGTGCTCAGCTGCCTCCCAGCTGCCTGCCTCAGCGAGCCAGACGTTGGCGTCCCATCGCTTCACGCTGTCCTCGTACTCGAGCATGGCAGGCTCGTCCAGCACGATGCTGGCGGCGAGCGAGGAGGACAAGCTACTCTCAGAGCTGAGGCAAGTCAGGGCGTGCGAGAGAGGAGGAGAGGGACGGGAATGGAGGTGGGACGAAGGAGAGGAGGAGGGTCGGGCTGTTACCTCCTGCTGGTATCCTGCGGCCTTTGCGAGTTTGCATTGCCACCGAAGAGATCAATCTTCATGGCCAACAGCAGCAGCCGAAGACTCTCTACCTCCCGAGCCCTGCAGGTGGCGGATCATTCACCCCCCCCTTCAACCCCACTAGCTAAGTCCTCCTCTCTCTACCTCCTCCTCTTCTCCCCCCCCTCCCCCTCTCCTCCAGCTCTCACCTTCTCTCTCGCTTGGTCCTGTCTCGCTGCATCTGTGACAGCTGCTGCTTCCCTCGCTCAATGATCGGGTGTGCAGGCCCCTAGGAAAGAAACTTGTCACAAACAGCAACTTTCTCCTCCTCATCCTCTTCCTCCTCCACCTCCTCCTCTCTCTCACCAGCCCAGCCTTATCAGCTCGAGAGATCGCCCATGCCAGCCCCTCCTATCCTCGACGTTACAGGAGCACAGGAAGGAAGCAGAGGGAGGGGAGGGAGAGAAGAGCAGGAGGAGTAAGCATGACAAACCTCGTCAAATTTGCTGGCAGCATCTTGGATGTTACGCTCGTGGTAATCGCACAAGTTCTGAAAACTCCATCACCATTCACTTAGGCTCCTCCTCCCTCGAGGCTGATTTTCTCTCCTCACTCTCGTTCCTCGTCGACTCCCCTCACCCGACATCCCCTCCTCTTTCTCTCTCCCACCTGGTACTCCTGCGCATTCGCCGCATCCCGTAGGTCCTTGAGGTCCTGCAAGCATAGGGTGAGAAGGACGAGGAAGGGTAGGGTGAGAGAAAAGGGAGGGAGAAAGGGGAGGGAGGATAGGGGAAGGGAAGAGGGGAAGGGGGATGGTGGGGGGGAGGCTCTTTACTCACCAAGCGAGCAGCCTCCACAGCAGGATGAGAAGACCCGAGGACCTGAAGGTGAAGAAGTCAGGGGAAGAGGTGGGGGCGGGGGAAGGAGACTCACATCGCTTGCTTGAGCGATCGCTTTCTTAAGTTCCTCCATGTCATCCTTGGCAGCGATGAGCATTTCGACCTTGAAGTTGAAGTGAGGTTGTCAAAGAAAAGAAAAAAGAAATGAGGAAGAGGAGCAGTGTAAGAAGAACTGAGGAGGAAGGGAGATACCTGGACCCTCTCGACTTCCTCATACTCAGCTCGATTCCTCTCCTTCACCATCTCCTCGAACGCTCGCTTGCCCTTGATGACGATGGGATGGCGCTTGCCAAGAGGAGAGAACATCGCTGTGAGCAGATCAGAAGGGAGGGAGGACGAGGTAGGAGAGGGAGAGAGGAGGGAGAAAGGAGGAGGAGGAGAACCTGCATGGATGGCTCTTTCAAGTTCATCTTCATCCCTATCATAGTTGATCAGATCAGCATCAGCATCGACTCAATTCGTTTTTAATTCAGCTTCCTGCCTTTTCCTCTCCTTCGCTTTCTCCACTCCCCTCCTTCCTCCCTCCCGTCCCTTCCATTCTCCTCATGCACATCAACCTGACTTTGATCGCAGAGTCGACATTGTCATTATGCATCTGCTTCAGCTCTTCCCACGCCGTCTCCCTCTCGCTCGTCCGCAGCTTCTGCTCTTGGACGTCAGTATTGCCCCTTTCCCCCCTCTCCGACTTCTCACGTTGAGGTGAAGCCTTGCTTCCTCCACGAACGGGTGGGCATGTCCCAGCTTGTCTGATCCACCCGTCAGTCTGTTGTCCTGCCCCATCGCTCCTCCTCTCCTCACCAGCTTCTCTCTTGATCACGGCCTCGAGCTCTTTGATCCTGCTGCCCCGTCACTCGTCGACATCATGTGCGTGCGCTCACTCACTTCTTCCGAGCCTCCGCCCGCTGAGGAGAGCAAGGGATGCTCGAGGAGGCAATGCTCGCGACGATTGATCGACTTCCTCGGTGACTGCAAGCGAGGCTGTGAGAGGAGGAGGGCGCGAAGATCGAGCGATTCCTGAGCGAAGAGATGGAGGAGAGACTGGGAGAGACGGGCTTGTTTCCTCTCGGAGATAACTGTGAAGAGAAGTGAGAAGAAGAACGAGCACTGATCGAAGAGCAGAAACGAGGGAATGGAAGGAGGCGGAGGAGGGGAGATGCATAGGAGTGGAGGTGGCAAAGAACGAGAGGAGGAGAGAAGACAAGAAAGGGAAGGAGAGGACTGGAGGAGGAAGTTTTTGTTTGGGAGGGGAGGGGCGGGGTGGTTAGGCAAGGAGAAGGGAAGGATGCGGCCATACCAGTGAGTTCAGCTTGGAGCTAGGGGATGAAGCTGAAGTAACAGGAACGAGAGGGCAGGCAAGAACAGGAAAGAGAGACAAAGAAAAGGAATAAGATCGAGGAGAGAAAAACCGAAGTAGAGAAGACGACGGGGATGGAGGGAACAGGCCGAGAGCAAGCAGTCATGACATGATTGAAATCAAGAGGGATGAATCACAAGCAAGCGACGTCGCTTGTGCTTTGTTTTCATGCCGTTTCGCTCTTTCCTGCTCAGCTTATCACGAGGAGCCAGTCTAAGGAAGGAGACAGACATTGCTCTCGAATCTCTCGTCAGCAAAGAATCGTCTCTCCTCCTCGTCCTCGACATGCCTCCCGTTGCCTGCAGACTCGTTCATCTCGCACTCTCACCATCCAGCATTTGATTCACCTCCGTGTATCACTTCTGCATGATTCGATCGATTCCGCGCTCCTCTCCCCGGACTTGCCTTCACCTCCTCCTGCACAGCTTCATCAAGCTGATCCTCCTGACTTCCTCTCTCCCCCCCCCCCCCCCACGCCCCGGTTTTCTCCTCCTCCTCCTCCTCCTCCTCCTCCTCCTCTTCCTCCTCCTCGTCTTACATTCTCATGACTCTGAGCCAGTCTCTCTTCTTCCTCCGGTTTTCTGCCATGTCCCTCACTTGCACTTCATTGCAACCAGCAGCTTGTTCCTCACCGCACAACGCTTGTCAACAGCTTGATGCGGTCAAACGTCTTCTGGATTCGTTCTGTCTCGACACGTAAGCTTCTGGTGATGCGCAGAGAACGCGAGGAAGGGAGACAATCCGGGCAGAGGACATGACGGGCAAACTGAGGCAATGAAGAGACTGAAGGAGAAGAAGCAGGAGCAAGAGCAGTGGCAGGAGCAGGAGCAGGAGCAGGAGCAGGAGGAGGGAGAAATGGACCTGAATGACCTTCACTTCCAACAACTTTCATCTGTTCTTTCGCGCTCTCATTCTCCGTCACCTCAGACTCTCTCATCGGAACATAAGCTGTTTATTCTTTGAATCTGGGATTATGGAAATGAGTCAGCGCCCTCAACTGTGTTCGAATGTACAAAGAGAACTGAAGAACCAATCTCCCAATGTTTGCATTCTCGTGTTCACGACTCTCTTAGCGACAAGTTCCAAAGGGAGCCTTGGATTCCTTTCTCGTCATTTTCTCACAGTAACCGAGCGAGTGAAAAGACAAAAGATGAACGAGAGGTTCAGGTACTCGTAATGGGAGAAAAGCACTGCTCACTCATCCCACTTCTTCCTTCTTCTCCCTCATCCTCTTCTCCATTCGTCTGCTGCAGTCCAATCATCACACCTTCAAATCCTGTCATGTCCTGTCCTGTCCTGTCCTGTCCTGTCCTGACCTGTCCTGACCTGTCCTGACCTGTCCTGTCCTGTCCTCTCCTGTCCTGTCCTGTCCTCTCCTGTCCTGTCCTGTCCTGTCCTGTCCTGTCCTGTCCTGTCCTGTCCTGTCCTGTCCTGTCCTGTCCTGTCCTGTCCTCTCCTGTCCTGTCCTCTCCTCTCCTCTCCTCTCCTGTCCTCTCCTGTCCTCTCCTCTCCTCTCATCTCCTCCTCATCTTGTACAATTGCTCTCATCACATTTTTCTCAACGGAAGTTGGACCCTTTACTCTTGATGTGTCTTACCCCTACCCTCCCTGGATTTCACTGAGAGATAAGTACCCCCTAATTTACCTATATCAAAATGTTTCATCACCCGGTACTTCAAATATATCACCACCCCTACCCCACCCTCTTTTTGCACCCACATGTGCCTGCACCACAAAGAAGGAACCTGTCGGTATCTGGTGGCCCTGATACCCCTACCCCCAATTTCTCCATCAAGTACCCACCCTTTCCTACTCTAAAGTTTCACATGACAACTCAGCCCTCATCCCCGCTACTTCCACTGAATTGGAACCAGCATGCTGGGGGACCAGAGGACGAGGGCCTTCAACATGCTGCGGGCGGCGAGGGCGCTAGTGAAGTATGCCGCGCGGTCGAAGAAGGGAAAGTTCAGCAGCATGCTGGAGCTGCAGCTGGAGGAAGATGGAGGAAGGATGCAGATCGAACGGATGGAAGACGGCATGGCCACAGTGTCTGTGGAGGTTGCTCCATGGTGCTGCGGGGGAGACGGTCGGGTGACCCTTGCTGCACTTCTGGCCATGTTCGACGAGGTCAGCACCTTCTGCGGTTGCGTTCCATGGGATGGCAACAGCAGGCCAGGGGTGAGCCTGCAGCTGTCAGGGAGGAGCATGAAGGTCGCCGATGTTGGCGCTGGGGACAGAATCACGTTGAGGTACAGCATGCAAAAATCTGGCAAGACCGTATCGTTCCTGCACGGTCATGCCATCAACAAGCAAGGAGAGGAGCTCGCGTACTTACGACACGTCAAGTTCATGCCAATGGGGTTGTTATTCGACGTGTTCGGGAGAAAGTCTATCCGCCACCATACCCTCAACTACTTCGAGCGATACGTCGACTCTATGCCCCCTAACGTGGTGCCAGCGCACGCGAGCATAGAGGAAGTTTTCAAGCTTAGCGACATGGAGAAGGAGGGAGACAGCAAGACTTGTGAAGTGAGCTTGTCGGCCGAACACGCGAACCCCAACGGATTCTTGCATGGAGGAGCAGCAGTAATGCTTTCAAATCACCTGGCGCTGCATGGGGAGCCTGTAGATCCAAGGATGCACGTGTACTCAGTCAATTCAGATCTCCTCTCCTCCATTCCCTTGCGCAAGGGAGTGCAGACCAAGGTTCAGATGGATTCCTCCCGCACTTCTTCCAGCCCCTCCGACTTCACTTCCCACGTTCGCCTCCTTAAGGCCGGGAGACCAACGTCCTACAGCCTAGTGAGCTGGCGGCAGTTCTGAACCCCATCTTCACAGTCAGACGCGTCTCAGCTTCCCCGTCCTCATCACAGAGCTGACAGCTCGAGCATGGTCGCAGCCGATCTTAACTTCCTCTTGGTCTGCAGCGACAGTCCGCTGGACAGCTCCAGTACGTCCTCGAACGTGTACAAACAATATCCAGCTGTGGGGCAAGAGTGAGAAAGCCAAGCGAGCCCAGGTAGCGAAGAAAGGGAGGGACGGAGGGAGGGAGGGAGGAGCAGGGAGGGATAGTTATCGAGATAACAGAATGAAGGATGAGAACGGAGGAAGACTTTTGAGTGTCAAACGGGGTGCAAGTGAAGGCCGGGGAGCCAGCAAGTCTCACCCAGTGTGGGCTGCCTTCCAACGGTACAGGTGAAGACCTTCACCTCCTGCTCCGTCCCCTGCCACAGGAGTCACTGTGCCTGCAAGCGAAGCAGCAGCAGGCGAGCACCTGGAAGAGGCGATACTGGGCGCCATTCTGATAGTCCCTGAGGATGTTGAACATGTCCTCGTCCATGCGGTCATCACCTGCTCCACGTCAGTCCGGCAGGAGGGAGGAGGTAGAGGGAGAGACCGAAACAGAGGAGGAAGTCTACTCCTCCACGGCTACTGAAGTGCTGTATGATGTGCGAGACTAGAGCGCCCTTGGTGATCCCCTGCAGGCTCCAGTCAGTTGCCCCTCCCCCTCCATGCCAAAGTTGACCTGGTGGCGGACTCGAACAAACGACTTCCCCAGCACAACCTGAGCAGGAGCAGTCACTCTCGGCTCAAAAGTTCGATGAGTATGGGGGGCAGAACCTCCACTGGAAGGTGCTCGAGCGTGTCATTTAGATGGTTCAGGAGCTCCTTTGCCTGTCAAACTTCGTCAACCTCCGCTTCTCCTCACTCCTCCGCTTCTCCTCCCTCCTCCGCTTCTCCTCCCTCCTCCCTCCTCCCTCCTCCGCTTCTCCTCCCTTCTTCAAGCCAAACCCCTTCTCCTCCCTCCTCCCTCCTCCCTCGTCCGCTGCTCCTCCCACCTACACCCCTCACCTGGATCTGACCAAACTCTGGATTCGAGACCCCGTAATGCCAAGTGATGGAAGCGACCTGCCAACCCCGTTATGCCCCTAGCAGCCCCAGCAGCTTCACCCACCTGGTCCTCGTCTACGTACGACCCAGTCGTGCGCTCCTTGTAGCTGTTCATCAGGAGCGAGCAGACCTGCATCAGCCGCGTCAGACTCGTCAGTCCTGAGGCGAGCAAGCGTTTCTCACATCCTTCCACTGGGCCTTGACGTGTTGGCGCTGGTCCCAGCGGTCGGCGGGAGAGCCCGGCCACTTATAGTAGTATCCATCCTCGGCTGCAAGACCGAGCTGGAAAGGAGGTCACGGCGTGCTTGTCAACAGCTGGGGGGGAGAGGAGTACCTTCTCTATGCCCTTACAGCGCTTGAGCAGGAGGAGTAGATGCTCGACGGAGTCCGATGACAGCAGGAACACGACGTTTCCAGTCTCCAGCACAAGCTTGAGGAGCCGTCAATTGCTGCAGTGGAGGAGGGGGAGAGGGATCCACCTGGTCCAGGTTCTTGACAAACTGAGGCCAACTCTTGCTTTCAGCCTCTTCCTCACTTCCCTGCAGGCGGGAGGCGAGCTCAGCATGCAGACGGCTGAAAGGAACCGCAAAATTTCATTCACCTTCGGGGGCCTCAACACGTCAACGTCGAAGATCAGCAGCCTTGTCTTGCCCGAAGCGTAAGCTGTATTGACATCAGCCAGCTTGAGGATGTTCGAAGAGATCTAGCAACAAGTTAGTGTAGCCAAAGCAAAGGGCACATGCATAACCTCTTTGTAAGAACTCTTCACTAGACCGACACGGCAGCAAGCTGTACGAGCAACATCTTCTCCCATCTCGATCAAGTTTGCCCTCGCCATCTTCATGTCCTTCAGAATGTTCTCAGCCCACCTGCAGGGCTGATATCAGAACAAGCCAGCGGACCGGGGGAAAGCCGAGGAACCTAAGGACTGTATTGTGCTGGCACCACTCGAACTGTTGAGAGTGCCAGTGCTTCCTCTCATACTGCGGTTGTCTCAAGCACTTCACTATGCTCCGAGCAAAGTCTTCCTCCCTCCATGGATTCGTCCTCATCGCACCTGCTCCATACGTCAGCATGACGAGGTCATGGCCAGCTCGAGCTCACCAGGGATCACCCTGCTGCAGGCCGTGAACTCTGAGAGCACTAGCGAGCCCATCTTAGGCTGTTTGCCTCTGCTTGATGCCTCTGCATCGACCGTTCCTCCTGCCAGCACAAACTCCAGCGGGACAAGGCTTAATCCGTGCCTTACCTGCTAGCATGTCAAGGATGGCGGGTATCCACATGAAGTTCTCACCGCTGAGTTCACCAGCACGTCGGCGATCGTGAAGAGCGCGACGCGAGGAGCGAAGGGCATCTTCTCGTGGAGCATGAGGACAGCATTGGGATAGGCCTCGTTGATCTCTTCGGCCAACTTGGTGACCGCCTGCGCATACTCCTGGTGCATCATCTCCCCTCGGGAATCGTGTAAGGGGATGGCAACTTGCACCAGCACTGCACTGGCACGATACTCCGGGAAGAGATTGAGCATGGAACGGTAAGCTCGGAGCTTCAGGGTGATGCCTGACAGAGGCTCCATGTCGTCATAGCCCACCAAGATCACCTGCTTCTTCATCCTCCGGAACTTCTCTGCCCAGAAGTCGGACTCGGTCAAAACTCTCTCCTCCTGCAGACGGCGGTTGAGAGTCTCCGCGTCTATCCCTACGTGAGAGGCTCTCACGTTCACATGGTGACCGTTGAAGACCAGGTTCACCAGCCCGCATCGAGCTGGGCGGTGTTCTATGCCAAGAAGCGTCGAGCAGCATGAGAGGAAATGACGGGCATACGTGAAGCAGTGGAATTGAATAAGATCGGCATTCAATAGAGACCTCAACGCCTCTTTGCGTACAGGCATTGTCCTGAAAATCTCTGAGGAGGGGAATGGAGTGTTGAAGAAGAAGCAGATGTTCGCTGTGCGAGCCCTTGAGCCAATCAGAGTCGGCGCCATCATCAGACCAAGATCGAACACCAGGACCAAGTCTCCGTCATTGAAATTCTGTACAACTGGTTTCACATATTCGCGGTTAACTGCACTGTACAACTGCCACTTAGCTTCAGAGGCGAAGGCGCGGCAAACATCTGCACTTGTGGGATGCACAAAATGAAAAATTGGTTTGAGAATGTTGTGGCAAAAATCTTCATATTCAGCGCGCATGTCTGGAGGCAGAAACACAGGAATGCACTGAAATTTCGACATGAGCTCCTCCGTCACCGCTTCCTGCTCTGCTGGAGGGATGTCGATGCCCAATCCGCCGACGTACAGCACGCGGCAACGAGCGCGAAGAGCACGCAGATTCTCTACGACATACCCGGCATGTCGGCTCTCAGATCGCATCACTTTGCTGTTGTCAGCTTCGCGTTGAGTAGAGTCAGAAGCAAAGGACAGCCACTGGAAGGAGAGCGCTCCAGTGTCAGGATCTCTCTTGGCAGTGAGAGGCAGGCGATAAGTGACGACATAGATGGTGTCTGTTGTCTCCAGCTCCACAGGAAGGTCCAAGATATTCTTCTTCAGAGGCTTGCTACGATCGACAGAGACGAAATCCTTGTTCAGCAACTTGGCTGACTCTACATCAAACTTTCCATCTTCCAACGTCAGCACATTCCCTTCAGTTGTGAACATCCGGTTCTCGATCTTGGTCTCCCAGTCCATTTCCCCATTGGCCTTCATGATGACGTACTTGTACTCCACTGACTGGCCCGAAGGAGCGGCGAACGTCGCGCTCCACTGCGGAAATTCCACTTGGTTCGTCTGCAACTCAACCCCGCCCCTAGGGTCCCAATATCCCAGCTCTTGAATGGAGCCTGTGACAACCACACGATCACCGGGCGAAGTACTTGTCACTTCGACATGCAAGTCAACACGTGTCATCGCACTCTGATCACTGACTCCGTGCGAGAAAACTTGCTTGTTGACAAGATCGTTGCAGGACGACCCAGGGGACGAGCCCATGTCTTCTCTGCTGCCTTTGCGAGAGAGCTGCCGCACTTGACTCGCCAGGTCTTTTGACGATCCTCTCATCGAGTCTTGACTCCGATTCCTGGATATCGAACCTGCCATCCCACTGGCAGAGGAGGAGCTGGAGGACGACGAGAGGTTTCGAGGCATGTTTGCCATGTTCTCTCGGCTGCCGCTCCGAGATATCGACATGCCGCTCTCCCTGCTCGCCACCTTCTTCGGCGTGGATGAGTTTGCGTCTCCATTCTGCTGCAGCGGGGGAACTACTACCGGCGAGTTTATCTTCGCACCTCCGGACAAACCACCGGCATATCCCCTCCTGAAAACGTCAGGTGACTTTGGCCTGCCCCCCAGACCAGGCGACAGCGGCCTGTCTGGGATATCCAAGTTATCGTTCCTCGTATCGCGCGGAGGCTTGTCCTTGTTCAATGAGAAAGGCATCCCTCTACGTCACTGAGTGACACTCGTGCTCACTTGGCCAAACTTAATCGCTGCTCTGTCTCAATGGTCATGCAGCTACTCCGAGCAGAAGAGTGTTGGGAGTGGAGATAACAGTCTTCCACCACAAGACTCCTGCTGCAGGTCCAGCAGTCAGCAAGAAGGAGCAGCGAGAGGGGCGACTTTGATTCACCGGCAATCTGGAGATGAAGAGCTCCAAGGCTCCGGCTACTGGCAACCAGAGACGCACTTGGTCGGGGTAGAGGGAGGAGGAAGTAGAGAGGAACAGCCAGGCAGTTACGGAAGGAGAGGTAGGAGAAGGCGGTGGGAAGGAGGAGACGCGGGGGAGGGGAGGAGGAGGCGCGGGAAGGGAGAGACGCGGGGGAGGGGAGGGCGGCGGGGCAAGTCGGCAGAGGGGGAAGGCGAGAGGGTTGGGGGCAGGGAGAGGACAGGGGAGGCCACAAGGTGGTTCCTTATGAAAGATGGGCGGTTCCTTAATTCACTACCCCACCTACACCCCCATGACGAATGGGTAGATACAGAATGGGGACAACATTGGGGTGCATGAGTTCCGGCGATATGAAAATGAGGGTGGGGGTAGATGGATGAAGGAATTCATGGGGTAGTCATAGGAGAAAGAAGGGGTCCACTGATCCATGACGGTGGGCGGGTGATGCAGTTAATCACCACCGGTGATGTCTTGAGTTTTTTATTTTTCCTTGGATGAAATTAAAATGAAGATTATTTCGATTTTATTTTATTGAGATAATCGTAATTTGATTATTTAGAGTGCAAGATTTCAATATATGCCATAGAGGAGCCACAGACGAAAACTTCAGATAAAAAAAAAAAAAGGAGACCCACATCCCCGAACCTACTCTTTATAAATATGTAAGTTGGTACCAGCAAATCTCTCAAAAGAGAAAACGAAAATTAGGAGGAGTATTCAAATATTTCTCGTAATTTCACATTATCCTCAAAGATGGTTATCAATCATTTTACAAAACCAAATATTTATCCTAATTTTCAAACTGCACCCAGGCCATCGAAAATGGATTCGCAACAAACAACTCTTTCGATCAAGGCAAAAAGGTCTTGCGATTCCCGGGGGAGGAGGAGGGTAGCACAAGCAAGTAGATGCCCTCACAAGGAATGGGCGGAGTAGAAAATGAATTGAGCAAGAGAATTTAGCAGGAATGAGATCTGTTTACGTGACTGGATGAGTTCACATGAGGTGTTGAATGCATCGTACAAAAGCAAGTGTTTTAGTGGTGATACTAATATTAACCATACAAATCAAAATCCACAGTGAAAGTGTATTATAAAATCGTCGAATTGCTATTGCTTTTCAGGGTACTTACGTCCTTGATGAAATTAGGATGCAAACCCCACTGTAGCCTGTCGTGTACAAGCAGCAAGAGATGCCAACTCTCTGGCCCGCAATTGCGGCAATCTTGTTGCTTGTCTGCTCTTGTTGCGTGATGACAGTGGCATGGTACCTCCATCTCAAATACTCGAGCACATGGCCGATGTGGAAGGCAATCTTGATCTCATGGCTGATTGCGGGAGGCGAGTACTGTCTTCAAGTTCCAGCGAACAGGATAGGTCACACACAAGCTCAAATGCCCGCTGCAACTCTTCGAGCCATTGCGGAATTTTGTATCCTCGTCTCCTTCCTCGTGTTTCAGCAGTTCGTCCTCTGCGAGCCCATCAGGTGGAACCACCTCCTAGGCTTCGCCATTGTGTTTGTCGGGGTCTTAGTGGTCCTGGGAGGTCCCTTCCCTCAGCCAGTTTTGACGACGTGCGAAGTCACGCAGACTGCCGATGCTCTCAGGCATCACAAGCTTGAGGAAGTATCATAAGAACCTACTTGTGGAGAATTTGCTTGGGTTTGAACATCAAGGTTTGACTTTCAATAAATGCGAAAAAGAAAGAAGAATAACAATGTCACTTACAAATTGATCGACAAGAACATTCACGTCAAAAGAGATACGCGTACTACCCGGCCTCGTGCCGTCCTGCAAGCCCATGTCTCATCTGATAAGGAATTTTCCTGGGAGACCGGCAATTCATGCAGGTATTAGTGATGACATATTGGTTTACTATGGCATCTTACAGGATTATCGTCCTCGAGCTTTGAATATGCTATCTTGACTCAGTTTCGCAGGAAATGAGGTGAGGCGATTCATCTTGATTGATTATCTCTCTCCTTCATCATCAGTGATTCTTTATATTTCTTGTTTCATTCCTCCCTTCCTCCCCCTTCTCTCCATCCATCCCTACACCCCCTCCCTCCGCCCCCCCTTCCCTTTTCTATCTCCATTCTCTCTCTTTTCTCTCTCGCTCGCCCGCCCTCCCTCCCTCCCTCTCCACCTGATCATGGTTACGACATGTGATAATTGCAGTCATTGTTGAATGACATCAATTCACAGGGCTCATAAACTTGGTTCGTCAGTTGGGGGATGCTCTCAGCGTAAAAGCGTACAAGGGAAAGTACCCGTGGTAGGTAGACTTTGTGACGTTTATCTTTTAATAAGCTACGAGTAAAGAACCGAACAATGATTTTGCCTTGCTCAGCAACGCACCATGCTGAATGAAGATTTAATGATGCTTGTTGAGATAATCTTGTCCCAAACGCCATCTGTTGAGAAGCAAAAGTCATGAAAATCCTCATATACATCATGGAATTACAAGACGTTGAACATCAGCCCTTGTACACCATTCGTGATGATTCGAGTTCCAAGGCCACGACCGAACAAGCCTATTCTTTTGTCAAATTGAAGCGTGCGACTCAAGAACACCATACCAATAACTCCGTCTTTGCTCACAACCTCCACAACCGCCTGCCGGTATGAAATCTTCTTCTCATGCGTTTGCTTGGTAGTCTGTGAAACAGACTACACTCAGTGGAAACCAGGGCAGGAAAACCTCGTACCTTGATTACACGGATAGAGTTGGAGCAAGTGTCAGAAACAGCAGATGATACGAAACCGATGACAGCATTTCTCAAAAGTTTCTGCGCGAACTCGTTTCCAAGGAATGTTGCAAATTCCTTGGGAGGAGGAAGCATTTCACTCATCAGATTGTTGGTGTAGAACCAAGGAAAGTGTCCAACGAAGGTACCACCTGGACGAAACCATCAGATAAATAGAAACCAGTCTTTGTAGAAGGATCCAACAGAGCACGTCACTCACCCGCTGTGGCAAAGGCTCCATACCAGAGGACACCAATTCCATTCGTTCGAATCTTGTTAGCCAACAAGGCGACTCCATTCTTCCCCTCAACTTGTAGTGTGGTCTTCAGGCAGTCCACAGGCATCAAAAACATCCTGAAACCAGCAGCGGAAAATGATGCTGCCATAGTCTTGGCAGCGACAGGGAGTTTCTTCGTGCTTTCATGGGAATCAAGCAGAGCGAGCATTCCCGCATTTGCAGCAGTGTCTCCGAAGCGAGAGAGTGGGCCTTGAACCAGAGCTGGCAGATACCCACGATAGAAGCGAATGATTCCGCCAAGGCCTCCTCCTCCCTCATGGTAGAGATGTTTCATGGCCTGCAAGGTGCTGGAACCATGGCGATACTGATAGTTCATCGTAGTACGCATCCACATGAGCGAAGTGACCTGAATAGCCATGGCGCCGGCACCTGCTATACCTCCTCCAAGCGCCTTGTTCGCTGCTCTCTTCAAAACGACACCCAGTGATTCGGCATCACTAGTCTGCGCTGCTTTGATTGCTTTGATGTGCTCCTGAAGAGGAGTGCTCAGCATTTCTTCTTGGTTGATGCCTTTGGGGCTTGTTACTCGTTTCGGCTCGAGCAATAGTAACCTTAGGTAATACGAAACGTCAGGACACGCACACACGAAGCCTTGACTGATAATCAGGTGGAAAGCAATCAATAGGGTGATGGCAGTGAGACCATGTGGTTCGTTAGGGGAAGAAAAACAATTTGAAAGTGAAAAATAATTGAAAGCAGCTTCCGGAAGGAAGCACTTGTAACTTGTGAATGCAGTGAGTCCACTGATAAAATGAGGGCATCGGAAAATATCGGAAACAACAATGATAAGAGGCTAAGGAACAACAAGGTTAAGGGTGTTGAGGAAAGAAATAAACTTGTTATTCTACATTCTGAAGAACTAGATCCATCGAAAATTTCAGAATCAAGTGGATGACAATCTCACATCAGGAGCATAAATCAGGGAACATGCTTCCAATATCAGTCGGGCTATTGGCAAGAATAGCTAGGGTTAGGATGATCGGTAGACAGTATCGAGCTGAGAAGGTTTCGACAGCAGGGTAAAAGCTCTAACTCAACGATTTGATGTGTGTGACGGTCCGGTGAAACAGTCTGGAGCGACGTCTCTGCCCCTCGCCATAGTCGGTCGAAGGGAGCGCGGGGATGCATGGAAAGGAGTCCTGTACTACCCATCGTCTGTTGGTGGGGATATCTTGCAAGGGGGGTGGGGAAAATATTGGGTGGGTGGGGACACCCCCTCATGCTACTGCCCTCCGAGTAGCGATAATTGAGCCTCTAATGATAGAAGCGAATTCAAGGCTGTCCTCTTGAAGACAGATCTGTATCAAGGTCAAGGTGGACTATTTTCTAATTGAGACTCTAATTCAAATACTCAAGCTTCTCACTTCCTGCATACTGACATTGTGTGATAAAGTAAGGGGGTGATGATTTCATCCATCTAGGTGGGGGTCCTTCCAAGGCAGTGGTCCCGTCAATCGGCATTCATTGCACTGGAACATTCTGTCACTGGGGTGGGGTATAGCCCCACGTATATAGGGGTGGGTCGGTATTGGGGTGCTTGGAGAGGGTGGGGTCACTAAAACAAATGTTTTTAAGAGAAAATGACGGGGTAGTTTTATATTTATTAAGGGGTACAGATACCTCAAGTGTGGTCCTTGACAGTAGTTGCACAATACAGGAGGGAGGGTACTCAAAAGATGGGGTAGGGGTACAAAACTCAACATCGAGCATGGGGTCCTGTCAGCTTCAAGCGGTGGTAGGGCGTAATCAATGAACGATCGGATCCAAGAGGGGTAGGGACGAGCAAATTCTTGATTCACCCCTATTTTACAACTACAAAGTACCGGTACTATTCCATGATACACCGGTCATATTGAGGAATCGTCCCGAGTGGTTGGGGAAAGGGGTCCTGCTCAACGTTTCTCCCAGTACCCCAGGAACCCCTACTAAATTCATTTGGTCAGTACTGCACTACCCCTTCAATTTGATATTCTTGATCACCCACCCATAAAAATCCACATGATTTCCGGTTCCTATTACCGGTACTCTTCCGATGTGTCGTTGCCCCCATTCCCCCCGGTTTTCAGGAAATGGACTTGACCCTCATCCCCACTCATATCATTGCTACTTTACCCTCATCCAGCACACACAATGTAGAAGGGCACGGCAGGCACGGAGGGAGAAGGGTGGGTGAGGTCACGGGGCAAGGGTGGGGTACGTCGGTGAATTGCGACTATCGGCATGGCTGGAGGCAGGGGAGAGGGTGAGTGATGCAATTGGCTGCTGAAGACCCAGAGGAAGAGATGAAAAGTGTGGGATCAAACTCCAACAGCTTCTTAGCTTCTTGCCTCTTCGTCGTCATCTTGTTGTTTCTCCTTTATTTTGAGTGGTTCCAGTGGATTCGATGGAGGCAGATGAAACACACTCTGCCACATGGAAAGAATTCGACGCGGCAAGCGAAGTAACGGTCAGAGAAAAGAGATCAAATGTACCAGATAGAATGGCTGGGGTTGGCGTCATTGAGATCTGAATAAATGGTTGCGATTGCACGTTTCGAACGATGAACTTGCGATGGCTCGATCATCAAGTTCAGGGGGTATTTTGTTTTCAGGAAGAAGGGGTCGTTCATGATCATGAACCAGGTGGAACATCTTGGTCTTTTTTTTCTCGGATGAGAAGAAACACTTTGATCTAATAAACTGTATCAATGATCTTGCATTTAGCCCTCACAGTTTTTTGGTAGTTCTCTGTAGGATAATGTACGAGCCTTCAGCTTTCCAGCAGTTCTACGATCAGATTGCACATCCCATCAAGCTCGAAGTAGAGATTTTCAGTCTGAAGCCCTCTTGTCCAACGTGATTTACGAGAATGTTCATGTTGAGCATAGTCCTTGCTGAATTGCACACGGTCTGACCTGGCAAGGACCCAATTAGGTTCGAGCATTCGCTGCCTAGCAACCTCCCGCATCGTGTTTGGGCTCGAGGAGGATCACAAGAGACGAGGATACGCTCAGAGTAGATGCAGGCGCTCTTGGCAGGAGGAGGTGAAAAGGGTTGGAGGGGAGGCAGGGCCCAGGGAAATATTTCCCCGCGGGGGGGGGGGGGGGGGGGGAGGTTGAAGGGACGGATAAAGGGAGGGGCGACAGAAGGGAGCCAAGAACCGCGCGCTGTGTCTGCACGGTGCGCAACATGTATCATGGAAGATGAGTGCATCGAAGAAAGCAGGAGCTGAGTGACTGGAGCTTGACCCTCTCGAGATCCCAGCGATGTTTGGACATGATGGTAAGGAATAGCGCTTTCGTCGACTGTCGCGTGCGGTTGTTGAGCCTGCTGCTTTTTCCCGCCATCGCCAGCTGCAGTTCTCAACTAGATAGCTGGAGGGTCAGCAGCAGGGATCATGTGAGGAATCTTGTGCCGCCGCATCATGTCTCATGCTTATCTGCAGCATGACAGAGGAAGTCAAGAATCCAGCGCAAGCATATTTGTGGTGAGTGCTGTATGAGCGAGAAGGTCACTCTGATCGATGGCTGCAGAAGAATCTTGATTCTGAACTCACGGAGAAAGACTTACTCTGTATCTTTGAGCAATTCGGTTCAGTGAAAAAGGTTTTGTGCTGGCTAGAATATTTTTTCAAACTCATCTCGAGTACAGATATCAATCCCGCAAGATCGCTCTCGCGTAGAGAATCGAAGATTTGCTATAATCGAGGTAAACATGTCAGTCACGTACTTGCCTGCCTCTAATCCATCTTGAGAAGTTTGTTGACCCCCGGAGTGCCTTGTTAGCAAGAGACAACATGCAGGGGTGAGGCTTTGTTTACACTGTCACACGCTCCTTGATCGCTCACAACTCTTAATGTCGAAGGGTGAAGATTGGCCGTAATGTCCTTCGTGTGGAACAACAATACCGACGACCACCCTTGCGAGCTCGGAGGTTCTGAGTGCCGGGCTTGAGCCTGAGAGAGCAGCCGCGCCGGGCGGCTGCAGTATTGGTTGTACCTCGCGAGATTTTCTGATTGACAACGAACTCTTCGACTCACATCCAAGAACTGCTGCTGAGTCAAGTTGCTTTCTCTGAACCGGTGAACGTACACTGACTCTTAAAAGTCCAGTGGCTGCATGGCCGCCGCAGTTGAAAAAGTACGCCGGATACTACCAGTACCGTCTCGGATGCCCAAGTTGACTTGTCATGATGAGTGAAACTAAGTTGAAAGGGATCATCTGACCGTATTATTCTGAAGGCTAAGCGGCTGCACTGTGAACTCAATGATGATGATCGGGTGACCCTCACCCCGGCCGGACGGTTTCGAGAGTCTGCAGCGGCCTCCTGTTTACCGTGCGGCAGTCACAGGCTAACGGTTCAACGGTTGGTGACCGTGACGGTTCACCCGACGGTGACTGAGCCAGTCGGAGCGCCCGGCCCGGCGGGGCTACCCTGACCCGGCACACCGTCACCTCGGACCGTGCCGGGGCCCTTGAACTCCAGTCACCGGGGACGGCCGCCCGGCGTCTGCCGCCGGGCACCGTGGCACTGTGACTACTAGGCTCGGAGCCGGGAGCCCGGCCCGGCTTCATCTCAGTTAGTGCCGGGCCGCCACCTCCAGTGTTGGCCGCCGAAAGGGCCCGGCGGGCCAACCGCCGGGCGGTCCGATCCGGCCGGGCCGCCCGGCTGCGGCCTGCCACCGGGCCCCCGGGCCCGGGGAGTCACCGCCGGCCGGGCCGCCGTTGCGAGTGCCACCGTCCGGCGTGTCGGACTGGCCGTGGCGTCACGGTGGCACGCGGCGGCCGGCGGCGGCCCGGTCGGACGGACCGTACTGGGCCCGGGGTTGAGCCTGTACAGTCCCGGATATAGCTCCTAGTACATAAGGATAAATACATGCCTAGGACCACAATAAGACCTTATGGAGTACCTCACCCTTCATCCTATTCTGTCGGGCACCCCTACCCTTCGTTTCCGTCCTAATCGGACCTGAAGTACCCCTAGTCTTCTCCTTGAGTACCCCACCCTGGGTATTGTCATTTGGCCCCTCCGGAAATAGAACAGCAGAACCACGGCCGGCTTTCATGCCGCTGGCAGTCAAGATTCGCGAGGAAGAGGAGATGAATGATCATGCGATAGAGTTCAGCGTGCTGAGAAGAGGGCGATCGGCAAGAAGAAAGAAGTGATAGCAAACTGGTTGTCCTCGTACTGATAGCTAACTGCATTGAGAATTGCCTTTGGTTTCGAACAACCTTACTGAGGTTAAGTTTACTGGTAGGATTGTCGTGTTCGCACATAGATGCAGTTTAACTTCGTACTTGATTTGTCCTGGTTTGTATACAATAGGATACGCTGTGGTAGGAAAAAATCCAGCATCTTTCATCATTGTCCGAAGCTTCAAGGGCATTGCCTCGGCTGAGTAAACATATGGTGTAGTGAGCGTGGTTTCGACTGATATTTATATCATCATCATCCTTTCATGTTGCTTAAGTGCATTCGAAGAACAGCAAAAACCATCGCAGAACCATCTTCCAGTCAAGCTGTTGCTCAGATTCTCATGTGATCTAACGCTCTTCTCGTCAGCATGTACACGGATCTTGTATCTCCTGTTCCTAGGGAGCGTCGTGAATCCAGCAATCGCCAGGTGGACTTTGACAATGCAGTTGGTTATAAGGCCATCAGCTGCTCATGCCCCATCCTTGCAGGTTATCGCTGGCCTTGCCATTGTCGCACTGGGTCTGTGCGCAGTCCTCTTCGCAGTCGGAGAGCAGTCCACTGAGGACGACTCTGTTCGCAACCTCCTGCAGGCAACCAAGTCGCGAATGCCTGATATCTCCAAGATGTCTGCTAGACAGCAGGCCCTGTACGACTCCGGAATGGAGGATGAGGCCGGCAAGCAGATGAACATCGCTTATCAGACCTTCATGAAGGCTAAGGATAGCAACGTCGTTGGGGAATATGATTTGTTGAACTCAACCTTGACCGAGGAGCAGAACGCTTTGGTCAACTACGCTGACGAGATGAAGGTACCTTCCGCCATTTGAGAGCGCCTCGTGATGAGATCTTTGCAGGCAATTGAACTCGAGGTTGCGAATGAGGCCAAGGAGCACAAGAATCAGTATTCACCCAAGCTTCCTAGCGAGTAAACAACGATAGCAAGATCCAGCGGACGGTGGAGGTCATTGATTGTCTGTTTGAGTTGATCTTCCCAAGTCTCAATCTTGTTGTGTATTCGATTCTCGTTTAAGTTCTTCAATTCCCTTTTTTATACAAACAAAAAGATCTCAAAAAACTTCGTTGCTTGTCTCCGATTTAAGACTTGCTAAGGATGGACCAATCGCCCCTCCTCCTGGCATGCATCGATGGAATGAAAACATCATTGAGATAGCCTTCAAATCGTGCGGAATTAAATTCATGTCTATCACAAATATGTGGATTGGTTCTATAGTTTCATAAACATTTGTTGAACTTCATTGCTAAATTGTACAAAGGGAGACCGAATCATTAGTGACAAAACTCATCCTGCTGGAATTGTCAGACTTCGACCATCTACAGTCTGTGAGCTAGTAATGCGCATTTTCTGAAAAACAAAAAATCAGTCTGTAATCACCTTCTTGCAACCAGACGATACTTACTGAATAGCTCTGCAATGCACTTTTGAATGTTTACCCACGATGAAAACTTCGAGTCGCAGAAGTCCTGTCGATAGCGGGAGCACAGCAAGTCAGCGGAAGGATCTGAAAGAGTCCCTTCGATTCTACCATCACTTGTCGACGCTCGAGTTTGACTCGCTGATAATCTTCAAGCTCGCTGTCAAGCCCCTCCTTAGCTGAAACTGGCCCTGGTGATGCGAAACTCGTGAGCATTGAGTCAGTTCGGGCGCGTGAACATACCGGCTGATATCGTCACTCCACCCGTCTCACCCATGGCTTGTAGTTTCTGTAGCTCTACAAGCCGTGCACTGTTCCCTTGAGCAGAGACTACGTCCTGTGAGATTTCACAAAGATGTCGACAAGACAACAGGCCAGGAAAAGTTGTTGAGCAAAATCACAGACTTCAAATAGCACAAGACCCCAACCGTCCTCGGATGACACTAAGAGGGATCAGAATGGATCGCAACTTATTGCTGCCTTAGAAATACCAGAAACAGATGCCAGTGCAAAACATGAAGCCACACAGAGGAGCAAACTCTCGCGTTACCTTGTTCGAATGGCTGACAAGGACGACGACCAGCACAGCGGCCATCAATGCAGCCATCGCGACAGTGAAAACTCTGAGGGAAGAGGACGAGACTGACTTGCGCTCGAGTGGAGCCCTGCATCATCTGATGTCACTTGCAACGAACTGCCGTGTCCTTCTCCCTCCCCCTCCCCCTCCTTCTCACATGGGCCGCACAAACGCCATTCCCGCCTGCATCGCTGCCCCCGAAATAGTGAAGTCTCAGGGTCCTCATCCCCCTGCCAACCCCATGAACCCTCGGGGTCACTCGAGTCAACCGCCCAGGTAGGGTGATCTCAAATGGTACTCCTACCCCACCCCTCGTGGTAGAAATTATCTCCACCCCACCCGTCGTATTGTCACACCTGACTGCTAAAGTGCATAGAGCACCCACTACTGCTGGTGCTGCAGGGGAATAGTACCACCCCTACCCCTCACAAGCATCTTCCGGTCTCCGAGCTTTTGATCGGCTCACAGCGGCGCAATGCTGAACTTGACGTGCTGCGGTCTGCGGAAGAGCGAGAAAGATCAACGAGGCATCCTGCGGTCCTCCTCTCACTCCTCTGCTACTGCATCCTACTCACACTCGCACGCTGAGCCTCAGAAACGCGGTGTTGCCTATGGGCAAGTCGAACGGGTGAAGCTCGGTGCATCGCACTCAGGCCATGGCGAAGTGAAGAACCAGCTTGGAGCGGCTGAATCGATCCAAGGATTACAGGTCAACGAGAAGACAGAACAGAGAGTGGTAGTGGGCGCTGAGGACCTAGGGCTTGTGCTGGGCGTCGGTTCCAAAGGAGTAGTAGTCCAGTCGGTGGTGAAGGGATCTCCGTGTTTCATGTACGTATTGAGAAGTATACCTTCAACTTGATTTGTTCCCTACTATTCTTGAAATCCTTCGACGATCTTGACGAGCTTCTGCAGCGATGGTAGGATCAAGGAAGGGGATATCATCCTATCGATCGACAACGAAGACGTGCAGGATTTTAACCATGCGGTTCAACTGTTGGAAGGCGAAAAGGGAACATGCGTCGGTATCAAGACTGAGAGACATGTTGCGCGAAGCTTCGATCCATTCATACGGAAGCAATTCATCACTCTCTTCCGATGATGTCAGACATGAAGAAATACGCCCAGCCATCATTGGCGAACTGATTGTGCTGAGTGAGCTTTGATTTTTTCCACATGAGTTTTCATATTAATAAAAATTTTGGCTGAACCTCTTGCGTATATGTGTGGAACTAATCTTTGTCGAAATATTGCAAGGCAAGTCTTGCATGAATTAGGTGAACAAAGTATTGCACGATGACGTACTCTTGTTTTTCCTGACATCTCGATCGTGATATGGTTGCAACCCTCGTACAGGAGATTCAGAATTGTTTCAGAGCGCAGATTGTATACACCGTACAAACTAGTCTAAATAGAAAATCAACACGTGACCGGAATCTAGAAACTTCGAAGTTGTAATCTTCGGATAAAAATCATAGAATCTGTTGACAATTTTCTTGTCATCTTGTTTTCCTGACGGCTGCAAGGCAGGTCTCTTCCATTTTCTTCATTTGATTCGCACATGCATCATCCCATGCGTATGCTCTCGGAGTCAAGCCTCCACGATCTTTGGCCTGAAGACATATGGTGAATTTCGCAGTGTAATTAAGTCAACATAATCATTAGTTACCAAGAAGAGGTGTGGCGCCTTGACACATAGGTACTCAAGAATATCAAGCTTGTCACCCTTTGCCTGAAATTAATGCATAAAAATACTGAAGAAAACTTCTTCTCCGCGTCCAACAAAATATCTCACCGCCCAGTGCACTGCATTACACCCGTTCTTGTCCACCGCATCAACCAACCCAGAACCCACGGTTTCAATCCTGCAAAGTTGTGGTAATCAGAAAAGGAGCTGTTGCTAAACTCGTCTCACAGAAACTCAACAACTTGATATCTTCCACCGCTCGCCGCATAATGCAATAGGGTGGCATTGATATAGTCTTTTGCCATCAAAAGATTGGGTCTCTTGGCGTGCAAAGCTTCAATGATGTTTTCATGTCCATTGCTTGCAGCAATATGAGCGGGAGTACGGCCATCATTGTCGGGACTTCGGATGAGATCTGGCATTTTTGCAGCAAGAAACAGGAAAACTGATAAATGGCCATTCGTTGCTGCAAAATGTGCTGCATTGCAACCATCTTTGTCCACCACTTCGAAGATAGCAGGATCTTTCTGAAAGATCCAACTTAAAATCTTTTTCTCACCATGAAGAGCAGCCCAGTGCACGGCTGTTCTGCCGCCATGATTCTTTGTTGTTATTGTCTCTGAATCTACGTCATACAGATATTCCAGGATATCCTCGTGTCCATATCTGGCAGCGTAATGAAATGCAGTGGATCCCCCGCTATCAGCAAGCTTTGTGCAGCGAAGGTCATTCTCGACACAGCACTGGACCAATTGCAACTGGATCAACAAACCCATCAGTACATAACTAAAGAGAACAAAGGAACTAACATTTCCACTCTTGGTAGCATCGAAGATGATCTCCATTCCACAGTGCTCATCTTTGAGCTGTTTCTTGACGACCTGCTTCTCCATCTCATGGGCAGCTTCTTTAGCAGAATCTGCAGCTTTCTGAGCTTCTACCGCTCGCTGTTCTGCCTTTTTTTGTAACATCGTCCGTAGCTTGGGATCCATCGCGACAACGATTTTTAAATAGTGTTCTCGAACGAGCAGATCTCAGAAGAAAAGATCAAGAATAAACTATGCTTCTTCGGAACTGAAGGTAGATCTAGCAGTAACAGCTAATCCTGTTGGCAGAACAAATGAAGACACCGAGCCAAGATCCAGGAAGTTTGTTCTTGAGGGAATGGTTCTCGAGAGAATGAGTGGAAGAGCTATAGCAGAGCCTGAAGAGGATATGTAGGAATGGGGGTGGGAGCGATGGGGATGAAGGGGGTACAATGTGGTATATCCAGCGATTCAAGCCGTCGAGCGCAGTAGACCAGTGAGCAGGGCGAAGAGAGAGGGGTTGCGAAGGAGGAGGTGGTAGGGTCCGGTGGTGTCAGCAGGCTGCGGCCGGGGCCGCAAGACTAAGAGGGGTGGAGTGAGAGAGGGGTCAACATGTGCCAGGGAAAAGAGGCCCCCGTCAGGAGGGGTCCACAGAGGAGTATGAAAATTGAACGGTCTTCATTGAAGACAAGAGGGTGGGTGGTAACGAAAGGCGGAGAGCAAAAAAAAAAGGTAGACTGTACTAAACTGTACTGTGTAGGGGGGGT